TAACTTTCTTTTATACGTAATATAGTAACTATAAGTATTATATTCTATTCTTTAGCCTTTATAATAGCTTTACTACTTTTTAGTAATATATTAATAAGGTATTATATAGCTTACTAGATAATTTCTATATAGTATATATTAATAATATTCTTATTTATTTAGAGAATCTTCTTAAGTATAAGGCTTACGTTACTAAGGTACTTAATTAACTATATAAAGCTAGGTTATAAGTAGATATTAAGAAGTTAGAATTTACTATTAAGAGTACTAAGTTTCTAGAATTAATTATAAGTACTAATAGAATCTAGAAGAACTCTAAGAAGGTTACTACTATTTAGAATTAGCCTATACTAAGAACTCTTAAGAGTCTTTAATTATTTCTATATTTCTATAATTTCTATTACGTCTTTCTAAGAGATTATAGTAGAATTATTTATCTACTTACTAAGCTACTAAAATAGAGAGTATAGCACGTCTTTAGTAAAGCTAAGCTTATAGTATTTTAGTATATTAAGAATCTTATACTAGCTAATAACATTCTAGCTTACTACTCTTTCTATTAATAAACTAGAGTTAAGATAGACGCCTTAGATAGCGTAGTTGCTAGAGTTCTTTTGTAGCTTTAAGAGAATAGTATCTAGTAACCTATAGCTTTCTTTAGTAAGATAATAAATACTATCTAGATAAATTATAGTATTTATAATAAAGAAATACTAGTAGTTATTCTTAGTATATAGAAATAGAGAAGCTAGCTAATTAGCCTATAAGATCTAGAACTATTTATAGTGTTAACTAACTATTAAGCTCTAGAGTACTTTGTAACTAAGTAAGAACTTACTATAAAGTAGGTTTACTAGGCTAATAATATTACTAACTATAACCTTAAGCTTACCTATTAACCTAGATTAGCTAATATAGTAGCTAACGCGTTATTATAAAAGTAGAAAGAACTTAAAACCTAAAAGAAGAAGAATTATACTACTTATACAAGAGCTTTTCTAAGTAAGAAATAAATTAGCCTCTTTACTATTAAGTAAATTTTAGGTAAGCTAGCTACTCTAGCTACTAAGAGGCTAGTAAGTAGCGTTACGAAAATTACGTCTACTAATACCTTTATAGAGGTATCTTCTATAAAGAATCTCTATACTATAATTAACTAGGTTATTACTACTAATTAATTAGATAAATTTTTATAGCTAGCTTAAGAGAAAGCTACTATATTAGGCTCTACCTAGAAAATAGAAGCTAGCTTACTAATATATTAGAATTAATTAATAGTCTCTACTATTAACTATCTATAAGCGTATTTAATACGCGCTATATATACTACTTAGATAACTATCTATCTAGAGTGCTAGAAGACTACCTAGTTACTATAAGATTAATATTACTAGCTAGGTATATAAGAAGATATTAATACGTACGTAGTAGTATATAAGGCTTACTACTAGAGCTATACTCTATATAATAAGACGCTAGGTCTTCTAAAGTCTCTACCTATTTTTGAGAGGGTTTAGTAGAACGTCTCTATAGATTTTAAGAGCTTTCTCTCTAATAAGAAAGAATTTAATTATATATACATTATTATAGATTAGCTAAGTAAGTAAAGTTTCTCTCTACTCTACTATAAGAAAATTATAGCTTAATATATAGTAAAGCTATATTATTAGTATATCTAGTATATATATAGTTCTTCTAGATCTATTATATTAAATTATAGTCTATAGTTTATCTTTACCTTTATAGATAAGCTCTATTAGCTTATAGAAATTAAGTAGAAACTTTCTATAGTATACTACTTATAAACTAATAAAAATATAAAGATTATTAATTAATATCTTAATTAGTATCTACGTTTATTTATTAACTACTACTAGAATAATTAGTTAGACTTTCTACTCTATATAGACTGTAACGATCCGACTCGGCTTCGACTCGGTGCTTCGGCCCGACTCGGCTCCGCCTAAGTCACATAACCCTGCCTAGCGCCTTGGCATAGGCACCCTGTGTATATAGAGAGCTCTCGGAGCATTCTTCTGCTTCTTACCTTTAGATAGCTAAATTTAACCTAACCTACTCTGCTAGCACTCTATCCTTACAGCTCGTAGAGACAGTGCTGCCTGTAGCTAACTTACCTAGCTAGGTGTTCCGAGACGCTTACAGTAGTAGAGACTGCGAACCTAGCTCTTATATAGGCTAGGTATAAGCTATATTACTATATAAAACTATAGAATTAATAGCGTATAAAATTAAATTTAGATACTAGCTAATATACTACTAGAATTAGAAAAAGTATATAATAAAAGCCTCTACTCTATATAAGCGTCTCTCGCGTTAGAAAGCTTAGAATTTTACTAAGAAGTAATATAATACTATAAAAAAAGCTACTAAAATTATATAAAGTAATATTATAAAAGTATAAGCTAGATAAGTACTCTAAGTAAATAAAAAGCGCTAAGAACCTAATTTTACTATAGACAACCTTATCTATATTAAACCTTATAGCTTTTTAATAAATTAGCCTAGTATAAAGCTTAATTAATAGATATATAGCTTTTACCTAATTATTACTATAAAGAGTTACTTCTTCTAGCTCTAGCTATCTACGTATATACGTATACATAATATCTTTTACGCTAATTAGCTAAGAAAAGTCTTAGAGCTATTACTAGAGTAGGTAGAGCCTAAGTAGCTACTTATTAAAGTTAATAGTAATCTAGAATAGCCTATATATAAAATTCTAGATAGCTATCTTTATTAAAATTATCTTTAATACTACGCTATATAGGTTACTTATAATCTTAACTCTATCTAGTATAATACTATAGGCTTTATTAACGCTCTTTATAAGGTAAGAGACTTTTATATAGTATATCTAGATAAGCTAGAGCTACTATTATAATTAGATACTTAGATTAAGGTATATAAAAAAAAGAAGACTCTAGAGAAGATAGTAGAGAATTTAAAACCTGTAAGAGTAGAAGATATAAGAGTAACATAAAGGTGCTACTAAGTAATTTAAGACCTTGCTAAGCTTATAGTATTGTTTAAGAAGAGAGTCTATAATAAAGCTACTCTATAGACGTAAAAACAAGCCTTCTAGTTTAAATCTCTATAAGAATAAAGTAACTAGAGAGAAGGTAGTAGCTATAAAAGCGCTTCTAGTTTAAAACTAATATAAATATACTTACTATAAGCTAAAAAAGATAGTTAAGAGTATAATATAAAAGTTTTAGAAGAAGAGAGACTAGAGAGGCGTATTTTAGAGCTTAGAGATAAGCTCTCTCTATAAGAGAGAGTAATATAATAGTCTAGTTTAGAGATTTACCTTAAGTTACGTAATCTTATTACGTAACCTAGCCTAGCGTCTTAGCGCTTAGCACCTCTATATATAGAGCCTCTTAGAGTATTCTTCTACTTTTTACCTTTAGATAGCTAAATTTAACCTAATCTACTCTACTTATTACTCTTATTCTTATAGCTTATAGAGATTATATTACTCGTAATTAACTTATCTAGCTAGATATTCTAGAGCGCACGTATAGTAGTAGAGACTATAGAGCTAGCTCTTATAAATAGTAGTATTTAGTAAAAGCTTAGTATTTTTAGAGTATTTATTTATATAGAGTATTTATTTATAAAGTACGTTATATAGTATTTATAACTTAATAAAGGTTTCTAGAAAACTTTTATAGACCTAGCTTTTCTAGGTATAGTATAATAAGAGGTAGAAGTTTAAAAAAATCTTTATAGAGTTTTCTTCTCTAACTATATATATATATATATTAATAATCTAGCTATATAAAGTTATATATTATAAGCTAATATATATTATAAACCTACTATATATTTAGAAGTAATAATTTTAAAATAGTTTTAGTATCTTTCTCTCTTTCTATACTATACTACTAAAAAGACTTTACTTTTATATAACTACTTAAAGCTACTATATTATTAGTTAATAAGCTCTATATAGTTAAAGCCTACTATAGTTTATATAATAATAAGTTTTATAGCTAGATTAACTATATATATATATAGTTAGAAGAGAAAACTTTAAAAAAGATATTTTTCTAACTTCTATCTCTTATTACGCTATACCTAGAAGAGCTAGCTCTATAGAAATTTTCTAGAAATCTTTATTTAGTTATAGATACTATATACTATAAGTTTTATAGATTATTATAAAGATATAATAGTACTAACTAGAAGTAAACTAGATTTTTCTTAAAAGTTACCTAAATACGTATAGTTTTTTAATTACGTAATATATCTTAGTATAACTTTAGTATAAGGTATAATATACTATAAGAAATATATATATAAATTTTTATAGAAAAATATTAAGGTTTTACTTAGTTATTTAAGAAAAATAGGTTAATTTTTATTAATTTTCTTACTAAGAAAAAGGTAGTTAGCTTACTTATATAGTTAGTTTACTTATAAAGTACGTTATAAATTTTTATAGAAAAATATTAAGGTTTCGCTTAGTTATTTAAGAAAAGCTCGTTGATTTTCGTTAATTTTCCTTGCCAAGAAATCGTGGGGGGTTCGATAGTGTAAGGCTTTCGGTGGTGAAGTACGTTAGAGTTAGAGTAATCTAACTAAGATAGCGGCTTTTTAGTAGAGGCTTAGTAAAAGTAACTAGCTCGCTTGTGTAACCAGCTCGCTTGTAAAGTACGTTAAAGAAAAATAATCTAGTAAAAATACGTTAATAGTACTAATTATTAACTATTCTTCTCTAATCCCCTGTTACCTAAAGGAAGGCGTGTCGCGTACGTGCGGGCGGAGAATTCCGTTAGCCTAAGTCTTGATTTAACCTCCGATAACGAGCCACCACCAACAGCGTCACCATCATCACTCCGGCGCCCGCCGCCAGGGCACAGTCTTGTCAATCGCATCGCATCGCGTCGCTCCTACCGTCGCCCTATCCGCATCGTGCTTGGTCGGCGCATGGTCACCCGTCTTCCTCCCGCACCGCCCGTCGCAAGCTGTCAATCATGTCTATGCCTCCGCCCGGTGCGCAGTTCACGACCAGCCGAGCAGAAAAGCACGCGCGCGAGCCTAACAACGAGGAGGAATCGAGTAGCGCGAAACGGTCGCGCAGTTCGCGGCATCACTCGCACCACAGCCGGAGCTTCAGCGCACGGGTGAAGGAAGAGCTTACCCAGATTTACGAGCGCGGGGTATGCTGGGCTTGCAGGGCGCATACAAGGATCGAACGGGCACACGTTGTTCCACGAGAAGATCCACAGGTGAGCCCTTCGTTGGCCTTTGTTGGTCCAGGGACTCCTGGTGCTCACGACCTCTAGCTTTCAGACCTCAGCGACCTCGGCCTCCTCAACCTCGAGTCCTACGGCGACCTGCACAATGCCATTCCTCTCTGCTCAAACTGCCACGATGCATTCGACAACCGTTACAAACCCAAGCTTGTCGTTGTCCCCGCATACCTTGACTATTTCTTCGATAAGGAACGCGTCTGGCAGGAACGGTTTACCACCATACCCGAGTCTCGCTTGCCGCCGACCGCCGAGACGTACTTCGAGCACTGCGTCCAAATGGATCCTCAAACGGGCATCCCCAACGCCACAAGAGGAGGCGTGTATATGTGTTACGTCGATCAAAATTACATGGCAGAAGGGTGGCCGGGACCCTTCGTATACGAGCGTAACTGGCATGGCGACCCCATGGCCATGCTATATCGTGCTATCCAAGCAGCGGAACGCATCGTCTGGTCCGGAAATATGCCCGTCGAGGTCAAGGACGACTTGATGGAGCTACACGTGCTGTACGAGAAGGGTAACAAGCTACAGAGGCAGCTCTTTCGGGCCGGGAGCGGGCCGTTTCCTGCACCATCCGCCCCAACCGCACAGGTTGGCTCGACCGGTCGCGCTGGCCCATCATTCCCGCCACCTTCCACAGGTCAGGGTTCCAGCCAGAATCCGGATAATTCCCAGGACGCATCGCAAGGGCCTCATCAGCAAGGAAGCCAAATTGTCTATCACAATCCCGCCGCCCCATCCTTACCGCCTTCGCCGCCACCCACCGCTTCGCCAAATACCGAGAAGAAGCGATGTCGCGAGTCGAGTGAGGACGCCGATGTATCCGCATCGCTCCCACCAAAGAAGCATATGCGTTTAGACGCGGACTATGGCGTCCGCGTCGTGGAAGCTATGGACCAACATCTTGCTTCAAACGATGAATTCCCGATGCTGCATGTCTATCTCGCGCAGATCACGGCAAGCGCACCACCGCATTCAGAGGACGACGAATCGAAAATACCCAAGGAGGGTCCCGAAATGCCCGACCCATATTCATCAGACTACACTTCGCAACCTGACATCCACTTCGACACCTGCGGCCGGGGAACTAGCACGCTTTACCACAGAGCACACAGCTCGGCGTCTTCGGATAAAGACGCCGATCTGCACGTTCGTCGAAGAAGAGGCAGAATATGGCGGTACGGGCCGTGGTATAGTGCGGAGGATGCGGTGGAGCGTAAACGCGCCATCCTTGGGTAGGCAGTTTTTGAACGAAGTTTACTTTTTCATCCTGCCGCGTCCCGCTTCTGCGTGAAGATCTCGATTATGCTTAGCTATAAAGCATGGGCAGGTTCCTCCTTCCGCGGTGGATTGGGCTTGTCTTGACAGTCGACTGCGGAGGTTCGTGTACGCGTTGGCATTCCACTGGCTGACTTCAGTGTCCCTAGTGCTCGTGCAAAATCCCTGATTGAACTCGTATCTCTTCCCTAGCCACCTCATGTAGCCTCCTGCAAACACGCTGTGAATCAGGTCTCAGTATATGGCTGACAGGATCAAACAGGAGACCCTGGATATACGCATTCTGTGGCCCGCTTCACTAGGCCCTGCTTGTGGGTGGTTGGATGGTTGCAGAGGTCTCTAGGAGTGAGACGAACGGGTTTGACCATGATGTGACGACCTTTCCACACCCACACTGGGCATAGCTCAGCTATCGAGCAGCTCTCACAACTACTTCGACTACTCACATCTGCGCTTCCTCACCTACACCATCCGCAAGAAGCGAAGGGATATTCCCTTCAGGCCATTCAAAAGCTCGCTCCGAGGAGATCTCTGCTATTTCGGTCCCCGAACAAAGAACGCTGCGGGCTGACTGAATTCTTGGTTTCGCGGTGTATACTCCACGGAACCGCGGCATCGACGCATCCCGGACTCCATTTTTTTCATGGGAGATTGTTGGCAGCAGAAGCCACGGTTTGCGCACCTCTCCGTGGGAGCACCTCGTTTCCATTGTTCGCTGCACTGGGAATGTGCGGCTCAGCGCAGAGCTCAGCTACGTCTTCGTCAGGTTTGTCGACTCCCGTCGTCTATCAGAGCTGCCGTGTGCAATACTCTGCTATATACAATACCCACCTACATGCTCACGTCCGTAGCTCGACCGCCAGGCATCTGCACTAGCTGTCTGCATACGTGCGAGCAGATGGATCGCTCTGCGCCATCAGCGGCCAGTCTGCCGCATTCGGCTGGTTTGCATCCTCCTAGAGAACTGCGGCATGATCTACGATGAGGGCGCGGCTTGGTTCCTTGACCCGCTACGCCGACACCACCACAAGCAGAAAGCGTAAATCCGCCGCCAATGGAACGCCGTGGAGAGGTGCGCAAACCGTGGCTTCTGCTGCCAACAATTTGGGGTATTCGATACTGCGACTCACCCTTAACGCTCAACACGATGGAACTCTGGTACGCTCTGGCTTCGGTTCTACGAAAGATACTGCTGATCAATCTATCGCATTGCACACGCACATGCACACACGTGCGTACCAAACACCACGGTAGGTGTGGCTCTCCACCTCTCCGTGCTTGCGGTAAGTACTTTCTCCTGCATAGCTTGTATTGCTGCTGCGCTGAGGATGTGGGATAAAACTTCGTCCCAGCGAGTGTTTTCTCAAGAGAGGATGGGGGGTGGGCGTACTCGCAACCAGATTATTCAGACTTCTTATTCTAATTTCCAGAGACAGCGGTCATGGCGGTGCTCCCAGAACGCATAGCGGATGCGTTCGACTTGATCGGCAATGGTGTGATAGCCTCAACTATCACGCCCGGCATTCCTGCGACGTGGACTGGGCGAACATTGGTTGAATCTTTAGAAATCCTCATTGACGCATGTGTGGAGAAGCAGGCATGCGGTTTCCGGAGAGCTAGTAGGTCGCGGCTCATTTTTCGGTATGTTTCTCGTCGCTAACTGCTTCGTCCTTTCGGTGGGGAGACCATGCAGACTCCGCTGGTAGGGCGCCGTCTCACATCCGGATCCGGATCGGGTGGCTCTGTTCCTGCGAAGGGCCCATTGAAGCCCAAGCCCAAGCCCGACGATTCCATGCAATTTCCTCCTCCATTAGCCGCTATGGAGTCATCTTCTCCCTTCGTTACTGCGCTCGCGGCTTCTTAAGCCCTGTCAAACTTTTCTCAAAGTGTTAAAGCGTTACCTAGGTAGTATGGAAGCCGTCAAACTACTGGCCCATAAAGATGTCGCATCATATGAACTTTAGGCACACATTCCCGATGTGCTTGCTGTTCTTGAAGAGTTCTGTGTCCTATTCAACTCTTATACTTCTTTACGGCATGTTCATGACCTCGCATGATCTAATCCTGGTACCGAGCGTGCGCACTCACTCATTGTATGCAGCCCCCAGCGCCCGCTTTTACCACTCATCCCTGGCTTGACTGCCATACGAGAAGGGTCCCAAGACAACGTCGAGAGCGATATTCTGGAGTTCGACGCCGTGGCGAGAGGAGCATGCGGGGAACTTCATGTGGAGAATTAGGAGGTCGTTAACGTAGAAAAATTACCAATTCTAATATATTACGTCGGCCCTTCATAGAATGAGCCGAGTGACGAGAGGTTGCGCCAGCGTAACTGACCAAAGTAAGAAACCTCTCAAAATGAAGGTAGAAGCATGAAAAGAGGATGCGCGGCAGGGCAGCAGTCCGGCTGTCAGCTAGGCCCCTAAGCATCTGAGAGTTGCTACGGTTTTCCAGCGCTTCATGCTTTTCCCTATAAGGCATGCTGACCTCTTCATCCTTGACGGGATGGTATCAGTGTAGAATCCTCATACGTTCTGCCTATCTCGTCGTTTTTAATCCGTGTGGGATCAGTAAGGTCGAACCATGCTACCTAGCGCTGGCTGGACGAAGACAGCGGGCCGCGGGTACCGGTCGAAGAAGAGGGTCTGTTATGGATGCATGCGAGCAATGAAGGATGTTGCGGTGAGAGTGCGCTGCGCGTAGCGCAGAGCGCTATGATTAGTAAGAAAATCAAGTCAAGGCTCATAAACTCTCGCCCAACGCCTCCAAAAACCACCACTCCGCACATCCTTTATACGTTTTAAGCGAGTAGCTGCACGCCCCTAGCCCCTATCCTGCTAGCTATTTCGTTTCCGCGTCTGCCTTCTTAACTTATCATTAACCGACGGAGGGAGAATCATGGAATGGGGTGAACTTTGGGAAGGCTAATAGCATCCCTGGCGTCCCGAAGTCGGCCACAATTAAAAGCACAATCATTTCATTTTTTGTAATGTACGAAACCGACAAGCGTTTTTTAATCGGAGGTTGTTGTTCGGAGCCGGCATTCTCGTACCGCACTGCCAGCGAAGGCCGGCGAGCGAGCACTCGTTGGCGATCGTGAGTCGTGAGTCGTAAGCGTGAGATAATCATTCCACATCCTTTCCTTCATTCCCAAACATCCATCGCGAAAAGGAAGTGAGATGAGGAAGCGAAAGCGAAAGCGAAAGCGAAAGCGAAGAGAAGAAAAGAAAAGAAAGACAAAAGCATCTCTTAGTCACGCTCAAGCCCAAGGATTAAATCCGGACTCACCGCCTCCTCCGTCGTCGATGCTCGTCTCCTCGCCGGCCCCGACACCAACGTCCTGTACCAGGGTTCCCATATCCTCCATCTCTCCCGCCAACACACCATCCTCCCCCTCCCTCTGCCGGACGAACTGTCTTACCAACCCCTCCAACTGCGTCTTTTGCTCCCTCAATTCTTCCATTCCGCGCCTCTCCTCCGCCACCATATGCCGCTCCTCCTCGCTCAGCGCAAGACCCCGCCTCGCTGCTTCGAGCTCGTTGATGCGTGCGGAGAGCTGCGAGCGCTGATTTTCCAGGACCTGGATGCGCGATTCAAGAGCTCGAATGTGCGTTCTATCCTGTGCACGGGCAGTGTCCTGCAAGGTAAGCGTGCGTAGAAGGGTGTCGCGCTGCAACGTGGCGTGCGAGAGCTTGTCTTGGAGCGTAGCGATCTGTGTTGTGATTTGTTCGGCATTGTCGGGGAGCGCATCGGCCTCGTCTTCTTTGCTAATGACGGTGGCGGCTTTCCCTTCTCCTTTGCCGGGTTCGGCGAGACTGCGCAGTCGGAGCAGCTCGTGCCTCGCATCTCGGAGTTGCTTCTCCGTCCTTACGAGAGCAGCGCTCCTGTCTTCAACCCGGTCATCGAGGCCTACTGCCGTGTTCTGGAGTACGTCGCGCTGGGCGTGGAGATGTGTGACCCTAGACTCCAAGATACGGATCTGCGCAAGGAGCCCGTTGGGCAGGTCGTCCTCCGCCCCTTCTTCCTCCATTTGCTTTATGAGATGGCGATTCGTGCTTTCCAAGGACGTCCTATCCGCTGTAAGAGACGCGACCTGGTTGTAGAGAGTGTCTAGATCCTCTCGGTGGGTGTTTCCCTGAGAGCGGATGTAATCTTCCAGCTCCGCTCTCTCACGCTCCAGAGATGTTATCTGCGTGCTCAGCGTGTGTATTTCGTCCGCAGGATCACTTCCAGCGGGCCCTGAGAGCTGAGCGATCTGCTTGCGAAGTAGTCGTATCTCCGCGCTTTGAGCATCGCCGCTCTCGTGCCGTCTCTGCGCCTCGAGCCGTGCGACCCGGTTTCTCAGTCTTGTAAGCTCGGATTTGTCACCCGGACGCGGCCTATCATCGTCCTGATCCCGCAGAGTCTCCCGCCTCACCGCAAGATCGCCCATGTGCCGCTCAAGATCCCGAATTCGATCACGCATGCTGGATATGCCGGCTGGCTGGCAATCCCGACTGGCCTCCGGACGGTTTATGGCATCAAGCAATCTCCGCTCACATTCCCCAATCCGATCCCTGAGCTCCTGTATACGGGGGACCACGCCGAGCCAGGGCTGATGGGCTGTCGAGAGATTCCCCAGTCGATGAAGGACCTCTTCGTATCTTGCATCAGATGTCCTGGCGTCTTGCGGGAGACGAGGCACCCTTTCGGAGATGGCCGCCACGTCGTTATCCAACTCCTGGAGCCTTCTCAGGATTTGCGCGGCATGCTCTTGCTGAGCCCGATCGCCTGTCTGGTAGACCCTGTGCACGTCTCGAGTAATGGCGTCAAGGGCGCGAACGTTTCCATCGAGCGTAGAGAAGGATCCCTTTTGCGTTCTCGACATTTTATCCATGACTCCGTGCACATCTGTGCGTGAATCCTGGATCGCTGCTAACATGTCATTTCTGAAGGTGCGAGAGTCGTCCCGAGAGTCACCGACCGCTCGTAGTGAGTTGTTTCTATACCCGCGAGCTTCATTTCTGGAATCCTCAATAGCTCTTATAATGTCGTCCCTGAGGCTTCGCATATCCTCTCGGGTGCCATGTATTCTGGACAAGGGACTGGACAAGGGACTACTTGTGCAGCGCTGGGTGGTAAGGCGAAGTCGGAGGATGAAGGAACGAGCAGTGAAGTAGCCAAAGGGTGGGCGATCAGGTTCTCAGCTATCGTGCGGTCGTTACGGCGGGTATCCGTCTTGGCGGCCACATCGAGATGAGCAGGTTGTCATGATAAACGCGCGTAATTCCTCATGAGTTCGTGCGACGACGCAAACGTGTGATTCTGGTCCTCGAATGAGCGTATGAATGAAGGGCCGGGCGCCCGAGAGAACGTGCCCCCCTCAAGAGCACACTGAAGAACTGCGCAAAACGTGCCCAACCGCTCACAGGCACTCTACTCTGCCTGGGCCACAACAGAATATCGCCCTCCAGTCGTATCAATGTGTCCCATTGACGTTCAGTAACCTCGTCGTACCTGTGGTCGCCTCGCGCATCTCTCGCAAGAAGGACCTGTCCACATATGTTCTCGAGCAGTGAATTCTGGTCTTTATCTGTATTTTTTTAAGCGCTGAACTTGAATAGAGGCCCGGAGGCTCACCGCTGGTCGTTGCGAGTCCTGAGTTGTTTGAATGGTAATGGTTTTCGTCTTCAAAAGCCTCAACGAAAACTTTGTTGGCGCACGTCGTCCAGCCTCATGGCGAAGCAGGAAGTCTCTGTATATGATGAAGAGGCGCCCCCTAACCAAAATTAACCAAGACTCATTTGTGGGCAAGGAAGCTTCCAAATACCACATCCCGAATCCTAGCAGGGTCTCCGGCCGCCAGTCGCCGATGAGTGCAACCGCTCTTGTCGCAAGTCGACGATTCCTGCGTGTGAGTGACGGGAGCCCGGTGGGATTAATCAATCCTGGATAGTGAAAGGCGTTCTCTTCGTCGCCACAAATCGACCACAGCATCACCATGATCGGTCGGTCTAGGCGGCCCTCCATAATGACCGGCCTCAGTGGCCCTTGAGCCCCAGCCTCGCAAGCATTGCGCGCGGTAAATCCTGATGAGAAGCGGATTCATTGGTCTCTTTCCGCGGATCCGAAAGAGCGATGCGGTTCCGGCTCCTGTCTCTCGGCTTCAACAGGTTGGATGGGTGTTCGTCACGGATGGTTTCGTGAAGTCGGCTGTCGCCCGCTCTACACCGTCCGCATTACTCTCCACAACCAGCTTCTATGCGCTTCTCGGCGGCCTTTCGCCGGGGATTCATGTCCGATCTTAAATGTGCCAAAGGCTCCATTTCGCCTTGACATGTAGCCCGGCCTCGCTCGTCCAACCTTCTCCGCGTACCACAGCCAGGCTTTCCGTGGGTCGTTTTCGGCACCATGACCGCGTGGGTACTATTCTTAGGGACCCAATGTGTTCGGAGCAATGATCCGGTTCTGCTGTTCGGCGGCCCTTTGCTGATGAGCCGCTTCGAGTAGACGGAGCCGCGCGATGAGGGGCGGCCGGAAAGCACTCACCCGAGTGTGGCTGGTGAGCGCCACATCATTCTTGGGTTAGTGCGGATGAGTAATCGTACTCTCCCCAGCTTCTGCTCTGCCCTCAATCTGTAGCTAGACTACCAGCTCTGGAGCTTTCCTAGGGGCCCACCTGGGCATGACAATCTCCGCGCCTCTTTATAGCCTGGGTTCGACATCGCTGGACATCTCTTAAAACCTCGGGATGCATAACCTCAAGCCAACCTCGAGAGGTTGGTGCGACCACCGATCGCTGCATACAGGGAGCGCTTCCAGTACCTGGCTCTCGTGGTAGTGCGAAGGCCTCCAGGCTGGCTGTTGCGTATGCCGTTGTATGCGGAGAATTCTACACCGCAGGAGCCTGGTAACGTTCCGGCCCCAGAAACCATACGACGCGCACAGCAACCTTGGAATTCTTCCGAAAGCATGATCTGGATTCGCGTCTTCTACTACTCCACAAATGTTTTCAACATAAGTCTTCTGGAAGAACTCAACGTATGTTCCCGACACGTCGACAGCCCAGGCTTGGTGCCTGGTGTTTTCAGCCCCGGAGTGGACACGATCACGTGGTGTCCAAAGATCCATGGACGCGGCGAAAGGCAATAAAAAAATTCTATCTTCATGCTTATCAGATGAGAGCGCTATATCTAGCGATTTCTGACGGTGTCTTTTTTACCGGAAAATAACTGATAATGGTATCGTCGCTTGGGTAAGCTTCGTCAGTGGCGGCTCCCAAGGTCCCATGTTCAACTTCTTCGTAGCCGGCTTAACCTCTATTGCTTCTCATTCGCATGTTCTTCTACTACATTGAGGTGCTTCTTTCCTCTCTTCTCATGTCTATGGTGCTGTATTGGAAAATACAGCTACGCCTTCATTTCTTTTTCGAATGCCCTAGCACCCTCCTTCTGCGCTCCCTAAGGAGCTCCCTCTTTCTTCATCTTACTAGCTTTAAAACATGCGAGCGTTTTTTCTTCTCCACTCTCTGGGGTGTTCGACTTATCGGCTTTTGCTCTCGCCCCCGCAACTACTCGCCATGTCTTACTTCCAGACGAGGTGGCTTTCCCAACTAAAAGCGCACGTCTAAGATTAAATTTCCTCTTCTGTTCCTACAATCCTCCTTAGCGCTTCTTCCCATATTTTCCACCTCTTGCGTTGCCGTCGTTTCACCTCTATCGTCTCCCATTTCCTCGAGCGGACCATGTCCAAACTTTCCTCATTGGATCCCGATGCAGACCTCTACAAGCGGCCTTCTGCGGGCGGTCCCTCTCGTCCCAGCGTCGCCTCATCCTCGCACGCCAGTGGAAGTGTCGCTCCATCAGCCACAACAAGCATCAGCGTCGCGACGTCTATGTCGGTGTCGAACAACGCGAAGAATTTGGATTTCTTCTTGGCTGTCTTAGGCGATCGTGTGGTGAGCTTGAGCCGCTTCTTTCTGGCTTCTTCAGGCTGTTGCCAACAAGACGAGCTAGACAACTGGTCTCGTCGCTACTGCAGCCGCCTCCGTCGACCCCGATGCTAACTCGTGCCTCCATAGATACTCGCTGGCTGCCTCCAAGAACTCGCCAACCGCTTTTCGACCCCAACCGGCCACCTAGCCCTGCTCGCTCCTCTCCTAGAGAACTTCTCCCTCATAGCGCCGTTCTTCTCGCTTTCTGCACCTCTGACCTAAACCCCGGTCGTGGCTGAACCTAAAGAGGAAGCTCCAAAGCGCGGTGGAGGACGTGGACATGACAGCGGCGGAAGCGGCGGTGGAGGGAGCCGGAATAAGCTCACCGGCCTTCACACGCGCACGCTCTGGACAAAGCTGACCAGCCTGCGTGTTGAGGACTTCGTCCTCGATCCTGCCATCAACTAGCTTCTCCGCCTCGAACCGGAAGACTTCTTCCGCATCAACACCAGCAACAGCGTCCCCTCATTGGCTCTCCCGGACCAGATTAACGCTGCAATGAACTTGTCCCCGTCCCCCTCCCAGTCCTCCTCCATCGCGGACTTCGAAGCCGAATCCAATGTTAGCAGTACCATATGGCTCACGCTCTACACTTACACTGCCGGACTTCAAACCCTCAGCCACACAAACGCCATCCGCCACATGATCATCCTCCTCGTCCTCCGCCACGCCTTCGCAGCCCTCAAGCCACCCCGCTCCTCCTCCACCACGACGGCTGTGGTGAAGCTGGTTGTGGGAAGGGGGAACAGCGGAGGATGGGACTGAAGTTGATGTAATGTAGTGTGGGTGGTGTTGAAGAAGGTACTCGCCTGGGGGTAGCTCTTTCTTCGTGATCCCCAGGACAGGAAGATGTGGCTGCCCTAGTGGCTGATGATGTAGCACCAACACCACGTGAGTGCGCGTTCACCAACTAATCGAAAAACGAGGGGAGCCGCGATACGATCTGGAATGGAATGGAATTTCTTTGAAGCCTCATCGTTCTCGAAGCAAAGTTCTCCTCGCAACACTCTGCGCGTCAAGATAATCAAAAAAAAAATTTGCATCGAGGACGTCAAAGATCAGTTGGGAACGGAATCGCCAAACTTCATCTCCTCAACCCCCGTTTCATAGGACACACCCGTCAGCAATCTCGGGGCGCCAGTCTCGGCACTCATTCTCTCAAGCCATATTCTCCGGAAGCCGCGCATTACGGCATCCACAGCTCCTCCCCCCGCAAGCACCTCCAAGCACCCTCTTTCCCGCTCATTTCGCCTTCTCCGCTGCGATACGCCTCCTCCCGACTCGCCGCAATTTAACCCTTAATGCCGCCAAACTCCTTCTTCCCTCTCTTTCTGCAACCTCTCCCATTCCCAAACATCCGGGTCATCGGGCCAAAAGTCCGTGGGAGTAAGCCAACCCTCCCCAAGGTAGGTCATCTTCTTCGACGTAGGCAGCGAGCGGAGTGCTGTTTCCGCGGAGTGCAAGGAGATAAAAGTATGGTAGACCGACGTATTGCGCCCGTACATGGAGATGACAGGAGTAAAGAGGTCAACAATGCGAGGAGTGTCTGGATCCGCATGCTCGGCGTTCTCGGAAGACAGACCGAGAGACGCGCCGAATGCAACGCCGACGAATTTCCTGGCGAGACGGAAGAGCGTGATGAGGCGGTACGAGGAGATTGAAGAGTCGTCAGGCCGTGGATTCATTTCCGCGCTGTTCCAGAACTTATGGACCGTTTGGGGCGGTAGTCTTATTCCTTCCTTCTTGGCTTGCTCAAGCGCTGTGAGCCTGGGAAGCGGATGTTGCAAATCCCAAGCAAACTCGCCGATCAGGTAGGTGTATCCCGCCTTGACGGTGTGCCATTCGCATGGCGGGCACACAAGGGGCAGGTGCTGCATCTTGCTTGGTTGGCGCGGGAGTCTCCAGACTGGCGTAACCGCAGCGCGGATGCCCTGCTTGACAACGTAGTCGAAGTCGCACTTCGGACAGCCCTCGTGTTTCTAGAAGTACTGTACAGCACGCCGTCGCCGTGGTGGCCGGAATGCCTCCCTTCCAACTCTTCAACATTCCCTGTCCACCATCGAAGACTCCCCCTGAAGAGTTTGATCTGATTGTCCAGGTCCATGACGTAGCTTGGATACGATGCTTCCCGCCCGGTCAGGGTAGCCCTGTCACGTGCATCTTCCAAGATAACGTATATGACCCCCATAGTCTCTTTGCCCAAGCCTTTGTGTCGGCGTTCCTTGTCAGGTGCCTAACATGGCATTAGCCTACTGTGCGCGCTTTTGACTACAACCCGCGGATAAACAAACTCATCGTACGGTGGCTCCGGTATGCCCAGCACGGCGTAAGGGGTCGGGGAAGTGCAGGAACGTAGGGGGGCATTTCGGATCGAAGGTCGCGGCGAAGACGTCGTATACGGGCGCAGGCGTGGAATCGAGGTGGTTGCCGATATTTGCGGCGATGAAGGTAATGGGAACTGTACTGAGAAGTAGGAAGACAGCAATGACACTGTTGCGACGACGGTGCGCTGAGGACTGATGGACGAGGATTGCTAGGAGGGAATCTTTGGCAACAGCACGCCTGTCGGGCACCCAGTCCTGCTAGCTATAGTAGAAGAAGCGCAGACGGATACGAAAGCGCGCAGAAGGGGTGAGTGGAGGAGCCTCAGGGTCTTCGAGGCGTCCTAGTGCAGATTCGGCACGGCGCGGCAGCGTTGCGTGAGCCATGAGAGCGGCGAAGGTTGATGAGAAGGGTCGGCCCGGTCACTGACGCGACTTTCTTTGTTCGACGTGTCTGTAGAATGTTGCACAAGCTTCACCGCCTCGCCAGTATCTCTATATATTACGCAGCAGCAACGCGACACATTGCTCTACCACAACTTCGCAACAACAGACCAAACAACCCCCCTCCTCCATGGATCCGACCGAAGGCATGGACGAGCATGAGAATCCGGCCCAGTACTGGGGTGCAAACTCGAACACCGGAAGCGGCGCCGGCCAGAGTTGCAGTCCGCGACGCCTATCGCCCAACAATCCTCTATCCACAATTAACGAGCCCTATACGCTGGCGGCTAGCCCTGAGAACAAATGGAGGCCAAGGTCGGCATTCCATGCAACAACTCACGAGACGAACGATGACCACTTGCCCTCCATCGCGGACGCCGCCGGACACACCGCGCTCGTCCAGCTGCGCAATCTCCGCGCCGAGAATGCCCATCTTACCAAATTAGCTTCTCTGTGGAAGCAGAACTACGAGCAGCTGAGAGACCAACGCAGCACTACTGTGGCAGATTGGAAGAACATAGTCGACAAGGAGCACGAGCGGTACGACGCCGTTGAATTGGAGTTGCGACGGAAGCGAGGGGAGGTCGAGAAGCTCGGCAGCACGTTGTACAGGCTTGAGTGGGAGTACAACAAATTGAAGCGGCGGTTCAGGGAGTTGCAAGTGGAAGACAAGGGCGTACAGGCCCCAGTGGACGCAGCGCAGGAACTTGAGTTGCAAGTGACGCAACCGACAGGTGAGCGAGACCAGCTTAAGGGCGAACTCGAAAACGTCAAAGGCCAACAAGAGACTGAGGAGAAAGTGCTCGTGAAGAAATCCAAGGAAATACTCCGTGCAGTCCTTCGCGAACTGAGAAACCACGACCTCGCCCGCTCACACCTGCTCTCGAATTTCGCCGACGAGAGCGTAGAGTACATAACCACCCGCTTCAAGGATCTCATGACGGAGTTCGACGAAATGCGTCGCAACGATTCGGACACTTCGAAAGCGCTTTCCGCACAAATTCAGCCCAGCGATACCTTTGCCGACGCGATAATGCGCGCCTATCAGCATCTGGATGAACGGCCGGCGGACATGAAGGGCAGCCAGGATGTCACCCGGGATGGCATCAAGCAACTCTTTGAGCTGGTGTACAGCGAGAAGTTCATCCACTTGGGATATTTGCCGGAGACGAATGAGGACAAGTGGCTGCCAGGAATGGACGCGTACGTTGTGCTGGCCAATAGCGGCAACGACGCGGCTCAGGAGAAGGATGAGGCTGAAGACGCTGAGAAACGGAGCTCCGACGAGGATGAGTTGTGAGCTGGTCGGCAAGTTGCCGTCGTTGCTCTTAAGGGTTGTGTGCCGATTCTGTGGATGAAGACGTGTAGCCATGGTTCGCGTATATGGTAGCGGGATGATGCGGTATCGAAGGTTGCTTCGTGGGTGACGAAAAGTGGGATAGGCTAGGGCAACGCAGTGGTTAGCGGCCGTTCCCGTTAATCCGCAATGTAGCGTCTATGCATTACTAAAAGTTTAATCTGTGAAGACTCTAATCTGTGAAGATTCCAATCCGTGAAGATGGTGGCGTAGTGTTCACTTTGGTGTGACTTGGCGGGTGTTGGCCAACCTCATTCACAATGCCCAGCTGATTGCGCTCGCGGCGAGCGACCTCCGCCTTGCCGACGTCGTCAAGATTCCGGGGACGTCTCGCACCGCAGCGCTACCTCGGCAATGCTGACATTAGCAGGAACCCTTCGGCATTCTCGTCCCCGGGCCAGCGATCCGACCGCCGTTCCCGCCAACCCTTTCACAATGCCCTCCAGCGGGTGAAGCCCAGTGCACCCCATCTTTCAATGACCATTCTGATATACACCGAGCTCGCCTCATCACCGTAGAGGCGGCGCTGATGGAAACATTCACGTCTCACTACCCTAGCGAAGCAGGAACATGCAGTCCGGGCCTCTGACCTTGATTGCTGCTCGCAGGAGCAGGCGCTGGCGCATTTGGTAGAGACTGCTCGGGTATGGCTGTGCACGCAGAACTCGAGAAGGAGTGGGCACGAGGGTACGTCCCCTGATCTCGCATTATGCTTCTACATGTTTGCACAATATAACTTATTATCTTTCCACATCGCATTATACCTCTACTTTGTTCATTGTATAATGCCGACGTACTCTTTTAACGTATGTAACTGCGACAAAGAACCAGGTGCAAAAAATCATCGGTAGATTATCCCGCTTTTGCCTCGAGAAATCGAGTCCACCGCAGTACGCCATGCTTAGGTTCTATTGCACTATGACTGGACGCCATACCCTCCAACCCTCCGAATCCACCCACCCTCCCCCACCATGATTAAGCAACCAATCATTAATTAATTGATTTTTCTCGTTTTGAGTCACCAACGACTACCTCACCTCATTCCCCACATCTACACCCACTTCAACCCACTGCCCCTACTTCATTAAGCCCCTCTAGTCCCATATCTACCAAAACGACTACAACAGTGCATAACGCAACAAAGGGAATCACATTCTATGATACCCAGCTAGGTAGATACGAATATAAATGCAAGCCCTCGATAACCTTCTAAGCTCAACATTCTCCACGGCGCCCCTCACCACAACAATTCAACAACATCTCATCTGGTCCAGTTGTCTGCTCCTCAATTGATCCAAAATGCCTGTCAGGCCGGAATCATCCCGACCGCCACCTGACTATCTTGCTCGGCGGCGGGCGGCGAGGTTGGCTTGGCTGGACAGCCAGCTTGTCGATGCTGGGACTCAGACTGAGGATCAAGCTCTGTGTGCTGACGGGGCTGAAGAAGAGGGCAAGGCGGTTACTGATGGTCTATCTCAAGCGCTAGGTTCGCGTGTTGACGGCGCTGAAGAGGAGGGCAAGGCGGACGCTGGCGTTCAATCTGGGGGAGCCGGGCCCACGTGTTAACGATGCTGAAGTGAACGGCATGGCGGATGCTAGTATGCAATCTCGGGAGCAAGGTCTGCAGGTTGACGGCGCCCCTAAAAAGCAGGGTCGTTGGTCCTGGAAGAAGAATATGTCTGTAGGAGGACGTGTATCACTTGGTTTTGGGAATAGGAAGCTCAAACTCGGCCTGAAGTTTCACCTTGAAGCCGGAATTGGATCGACGCCGAACTTGGAGCTGATCCCGGCCATGGACTCATCGGTTCCGCCTAAACCGACGCCTACCTCGACCTCGACCTCAACGCCTTCTCTGACCTCGACCTCAACGTCTTCTCTGACCTCGAGCTCGACGCTGAACTCGGACACCGCCCCTCTTATCTCCAAGTCCACGAAAAAGACTGCCAAGTAGATCACGGTCACAGACCACCATGATCACTAAGAACTGAGAGTTAGCAGACTACTGGAATGGAACTCCTTCAATGGAGTGCTCTTGTTAGGAATAAGATTGATAGGTATTCTATGAAATAATTTGAACTTCATACGGACGGAAACTTAGCATGTGACTCGTGACAGGACATTCGGTGACAAATGCCCACCGCTTCTACTCCTTCATCTCACTATGGCGCGGGACGCGGGTACTATCTGGATCCAGTGAGACAGGAGTGGCCTCCGAAACGCACCCTTCGCCAGCACGACCACTAGACAACGCATGTCACCGTAGCTTCCCGCGAGCAGCAGTCACAAAGCTTGGCTCATCTCGATCAAGTTACGCCATCTTTACTTAGGTACGGGACCGGCGTGCTGCAACCATAGGCATGTCGCGTCTCTAAAGATAGCCACAGTGAGCGAGAATTGCGTGAAGGAGAGCTTCTCCGATATTTTACGGCTATGAGCACCCTCCACCGAAAACAAAATGAGACTTTTTGTATGGTGAGTAAGCAGAGCAACACCAACGCTATTCTCCCATACTACCCAAATTTTATAAGATAAAAAGTAGCTAGCAACTAAGAGTAGTACACAAAGCGAGAGGGGTTTTAATTGTATGAAGAAAATACTACGTTCTGTTAAGAGAGAGGGCGTTGTTGTTCTGCTAAGGTAAGCAGAAAACAGTCTCATTTTTTTTCGGTGGGGGGTGTGAGGGTGATCAAAGATGACATTCTTTCTATCACGGTCTCTCCCCGGCGGCAGTGACGGCTGTACCGACCGACATGATTAGGGCCTCTTTCTAAACAGAAGCCTTCAGTGTCCTTAACCATGAATCCTATAAATAAGTGCCATTTACTCTACCGTCTAAAGAGACTAAACGTAGACATAGTCTAGTAGAAACTAGCCGCATTTACTAATATCTAGATAAACCTTTTACTTAGGTTCTTTCTCTAAGGCGTCGTCCGTGTGGTAGAAACATCTGTTTAGACTGCTGCGGTTTCATGCTAGCCTGCATTAAGGTTGAGTATATCGACATTAATCTATAATCTAAAGATTGTTCGGCTCAGATTGTTAAATCTTATATAGGATAAGCAGGCAAAGCATTCAGACAACAACATAACGCAACGTCCTCTACTAAGTTAGAGATTTATAGTGCCGCAGAACAGAGACTACCGCCTTAGCTAGAAAGTTTAGAAGCATCTATCTATATGTCTAGCCTTAGGCTAAGTTAGAAATAGATTTAGAACGTTTAATAGAGCAACTAAATAAGAACTCTTGTTTAAGAAAAAGATAATAGCAAAAACAAATATACTCTAGTTAGATAACAGGCCCTTTACTCTTGTACTAACGGAGACTATCGTAAAATACATTATGTGCTAAGGCGTAGACGCTCTAGGCTTTATATAGAAGCTCTTTTATTTCTTCTTTACGCGCCTCTCGTGCCTATCTACTAGTCTGTTCGCCTTCTTAAAATAAAATAAAATAAAACAACGCGCTAAAACGTAGATTATAGAGCTAAATAGGTATAAGAAAGAGACTATTAGATTTTAGGTAGACTAAGTATTCTATAAAACTAGCGCCGTCGTGTTTATAGCAATTTACTATAGAAATATAGAGTCTATCTTCTCTTATAAACTCTCTTACTATTACTACTAAGACTCTTTTAATTTTCTACTTGCTATATCTATAGTCTTCCCTGCGTAAAATACTAAAACTAAGAGTAAGAAGCACGTAGAAGGTAAGTCTACGTGCATTATCTACTATAGTAGAGACTTTGCTCTAGCCTAGCTCTCCCGCGACTACTTTAGTATTACTAGTAACGTAGTACTATAGAATAGCATAAAAATATCCTGCTATTAAGCTATAAAGTAATTAAAGCGAGTAACGTAAAATAATTACTACGCTAACTAGAGTTAGGTCTAGCACCTACTAGATCTATAGCATTTTCTTTAAGGCTTTAATATACAGACCTTTTTACTAACTTAGCATCTAAAACCCGCTCTACTAGATTAATGTTTACGTTAGCAAGTAATAGTAGGCGATAACAGCGAGAAGAGGAATAGTACGCATCGTACCTCTTAGCTAAGTTGCTGGTAGCGGTGCAAGCGCCCTGCGGTTTAGTTTTAGTGCCTTACCTTTGCTGCGTACTTGCCTCCGTTTCTATTTTGCAAAACTAAGTTATTATTTACGCCCCTCGTTATCGTAGCGTTAGCTTGGTTCCAATAGAGTAGCAAGAAAGGTTTCGACGTTAGTAGTAAGCTGGACGCTCTACGGCTCTTATGCTAAGTAGTAATACTGCCGCTAATTGCAAGCTTTATACGGCTCCCCTTGCTTAATCGCCATGGCGAGAGCCGTAGTCTACTAGGACTGCAACGAAACGGTTCTAGATTTACTTTACCAAAGATAGTACCAGCGTCTATCTATTGTCCTGCAAGAACATGCCCTCGCGCCTGCTTGAGATAACCGATCACGGCAATACTGCGCTTCCTTACTACCCTTAACAGGTCCATTGTCTACACGATGTAGCCTCGCCACCTCTACCAGCAAATCCAGCTTAATACTCGTTGCTACTATCGCTAACTTCGCTATTAAGGTCTAGAATCGGACTTAAACTCCCCGCGGAGGCTTAATGGCTCGGGTTAGTAGGATGAGTACGAGATCTCAACAGGCGTAGATGATCTTATCTAACTACTGGCGCCTTTGCTCTTATATTTAATATTGATCGCGCACTTCTTGTGTCTCGTCGAAAGGCAAGTCCCCTTTCTACAGCGCAAGAGGAATCTCTAACCTTATCGCCGCTAAGAACGCCATTTTAAAGCGAGCAACGAGCGATCTTTCCCACCTAGTCATCTAGCTATCGGCATTCGATTACCTCACAACGAAACAAGTGCCTGGGCTTGGCGGCTCTAGGACCACGTAACACTAAGTCTATCCTTATCCAGTGGTGTTCACACGCCTGTAGTAATAACCCGAGCCCAAACAACAATCTAGACGCAACTCCGGCGGGTCCAATGTCCTACTTTAGTAGCTTGAATAAGATATGCTCTTCTCCCGATTCGCTTCCCTTAAAATGTTTTAGCGATGTGGTTACGACGAAGGTTATAAAGAGAATAACGTAAAGAGGAGAGATTTAATACACCGAAGCGGTACGCGCTGAGGTAACTTTGCTCTAACTTTACTACGAATTTGCTTCGCGTCGACAAAAAGTACTCACGCAAGCTATCTATCCAACGCAGGAGCCCTAGACTTTTAGTTGTTTGGGTTTTTTTTTAACATTTATCTTTATGTTAACTCTTTTCTTAACATAAATATTTATGCTAACTCTTTTCTAAGCATAAATATTTCTTTATGTTAATACTTTTCTTAACATAAATTTTATAGTAAGTTAAGGCTATATTCTAGGCGAAAGTAAGGGCATTGGTAGATAAGTTGTAAGACTTCTATACTGCAGAATCCTGAGAGCGTATCGTGACTGCCGGCTATGGTAACAGCACGTTTTCGAGGTGGCTGACTGCAGGTATACTGGGCATTATTGCAGCATCAGATTCGAACGAGAGTCAGGCTCGAATCATGGGATCGAGCATCCGATTCCAGGATGGTGAGGATGAAGGACGGAGCACACGTAAGAGGTTAGTGAGTAGGAAGCTTAGCGCGTACCCTGGAACATCTTCACTGTTAAGTGGGACGGGAAGAGTCTTACGATGCCAATGGGGACGAGCACAGGAAAGAACCAAGCAGCGTGCCTTCCATGTTATGTGAAGAAGTGGTAGACTTCGAAGGTAGCGGCCATTCTGGAAGGACGGTGGCGACAGCCAGGCGACAAGCGCGTTATTAATGCTACGTATTGGCTCCATTGTGCACACATAAGCCTAACCGTTGAGGATGAAACCGACGCTAATCTCGATATTAACGACCTTCTCTTCGACCGTCTGATGAAGGCTGCCTCCGCACTGGGGCCCGTCTCCGCTCGCTGATCGTCCTAACAGCTACACTAAATCCTACAATCGCGACCGGAAGCTAATTAAGATAGAGATTGCACCAGACAGATCTATATGTCAGTTTTACGCAGGAGGTAGAAGTTTCTAATTTTATAGCCGTGGATTCGAAGATGCCTACAAATGCAAATCCCTAGTAGCTAGCTTGTTGCTAGTTCTTAGGTAAGGCGTTCTTAAGTAAGGCGTTCTTAGTAGGTGTACGTGTAGGGTAGAATATTAGAAAGAAAGCGAAGATAGAGAAAAGTAAGTTAGAGATATAGAGAAGTAGTTAAAATAGCTTACTACTAGAAGAATTTTAGAATATTTATATATACTTTAGTTAGCTATAGCCTTATAGTAGTACTAATTTCTATTATCTAATTAGCTAATTAAAATATAAAAAACTTATTAGTTTTTAGTAGAATAACTAGTAGTAGATAGGTAGATATAAAATAGTATAGTAACTAATAGTATTACACTATTACTCTATAGTAATAGATAAATAAATTACTACTCTTTTAGTATAATTATCTATAGCTAGTTATATCTATAATGATATAACTAAATAAGAGACTAGGCTATTGTTAACTAGTCTATTATAGACTTCAGGGCTTACATAGACTACATTTCCACCCCACCAAAGAATAAGGAAACTAATCCAGGATTCTCGCGGATTCCAACCCTGAGCAAAGCAAAGAATGACCCAGACGTCGCCAATGTGGCGGAACAGCACCGTCGCGAGGAATATCGCACCTACAATGCAGCGATCTTGGTTGCTCCCAAGCCGACCGCAGACCGAGCTGTTCCAAACAAACGCTGTGGCCGCTGCAGTGATGAAGATTTGTAGAGCAGAGATTGTGGCATTGTCGTATCCCAAAGACGGTGCGTAGTCGCTGAATACTCGGATATCGTTCTCCGGGCGGGGAATGTTGAACGGAAGATAGCGAAGGCTTCCAATCAAAGACGAGAGTATCCAGTACGTGATTCCCGCGGTAAATCGTAAGACCGTGAGTTTGCGGAGGACGACAGAAAGATCGAAAGATGGATTGCGAGTTGCCAGGCCAGTGAAGCGATGGACCACTTCGCTCACTTTTGGGATCCATGTCGTTATCTGCTTCCTGCAGAGATACATCCGGAATGCGCGGAAACAGAACTTCAGCCAGCCAGGGAGATCATAGAAGAACGCGACTGCTTTGAGGTACAGTGAAATTGCTTGCGCGGCCAGAAAGTGCACGCACGAGACCATCATTGCTTTCAGAAGCACCAATGGCGATGGTCGAAAGAGAGGCGTTCGACAGATAGCGCAGAGGTCGCCATTGGGAGCATCGATCAAGTCGTTCAGACAGTCCTGGCCGAAGACATGGTTGCACGGGAGAACTCGGACGGCGGGGTGACCATCGTCATACGGTCCCCAACAGAATGCGCATTTGTTGTCATTGAAGATGTCGTTGTCGTTCGCTGGCACCACCCGAGTAGTGAGGAAGGTCGACTTGGAGACTCTGAGTAGCGACGCCATGAGTGAGGGTAGTTGTGGGGATATCGCGTGGTTGGAGTTGCTGTAAAATAATGGATCGAAGGGATGATAGTCTGAAGGGTTAAATATATTGCGAAGCGAGCGTGCGACCAATAACCCCGTAAGGGTGGGAAGGAAGTGCAAGTGAAAGTCAGCAGTGCAAGTGGACGCGGCTTCGTATTGTTCACTGTTTCGGATGGGGAGATGCGTAACCCTAAACCTAAGCACATGTTGTTTGCTGGGCCATTTCACCAGCGCTTCCATCATTCCTACATCGTCTGTGCGACTATGGCGAGTGAGGATGGAGCGACGCCACGTGGTGGTGAATGGATATCGCACGTGCAAAGCGGCTGACGTCATGGTCCCCGACCGATGACTCCACCTCACCATTCGGACACTCAGAACTTCGCAAACGGACTGGAGACCACCACCACCACCACTCCACGACCGCTAGAATGAACGCAAGAGCTTCCGAGAGCTTGGGACTGGTACTGTGCGCGCGCGGAGCGGGCAGTTCGGAGATAGGTGACGGCGAGGAAGCGACACGTCGGGGAGTGCCTTTAACCAAGTCCCAAACCCTAGGAGGCCATGTTACGACAGCGCCATATCGCTTTCAGCATAGCAACGCCAGCAAGCTAGCCTGCTTAGTCTTAACCCAGCGGATGCGAAGACGGCAGATTCAGAGGGCGGCTCTGGCGAAGAAGAAAGTCAGCCCGATGTTTAGAGGGCAATAAGGAAACCAGGAAACCAAATTCTGGCGGTAGCGGCTCCCCCGAGAAGTAGATAAAAGAGAAGCCGCGGAGGTGCACGCAAGGCGTAGATGGGCGTCACGCTGATGGCAACATGAAACGCCTGATAGTGCCCAGGTGGTAGAGGAGAAGGTCGAGGATTCCTCGCAAATTTCTAACAGGATCAGGCAGCTGCAAAGCCGTTTACTGGTGCGCTAACTACACTATAGGCCGCTCCAAATATTCAAACGTAGCACCGAGTCCCTCGAGCACGCCGCTACATCGGAGGCCACCATCAGCAATAATGGACAGCAAGGAAACGGCGGCTAGCTTTCACTGATCTGTAACTGCCGACGAGCTGTCTTCCCTTCGCTTCTGCCCTAGGGAACCACAGGAACTTCCTCCAGCTACTACCTTTGGTGCGTTGGGAAGTGCAAGGCCCGCTGATGTCCCTATGTTCCGCGTCACTATTTAAGAGCCTACTCCCGGACCAAATATTCTACCACCCGCGCAAACACAGTTGACTGCACCTCAACTCGCACGACCGCGCTCTCGCAACACGCTCAAACAACCGCGCAGTAAGCTTAAGCCGGTTCGCCCCAACCATATCGTACTAACAATCATGTAGGCCTCATTGCCAACAGGGCAAGATGTCGAGTACCGACTACACCATGTCTGACTCCTCCAGGCGCTCCATTTCCACGTCGCCCACGCCTCCACCACAATCGCTGACCGAGCTCCAACTCCTCTCGGCCTTCTTCTACGACAAGTCGCAGAAAGACGTCCTCAAACACTGCCTGGGTCTCGAGCCGATCCCCGACGCACCAGCCCTGGCCAACTCCGCGATCGTGGTCTGCTTCGACACAGAAGGCTGGACGGCCGATCCCTCCAAGATCACCGAGGTGGGCTTGAGCGTGTTCGACTCCCGCGACCTGCGCCCGCTGGATCCAGGACCCCACGGCGAGAACTACCTCAAGCAGATCTGGTTCTACCATATCCGCATCCAACCAAATGCGCACCTCCTCAACATCCGCTTCTGCGTTGGCCACCCGGAGACGAACCGCTTTGGGCAGACGCGCTTCTTGACGCCGGAGGAGGCTCAGGGCTGTCTGAAGGAATGTTTCGGCTGGCACGTCGACCCCAAGAAGCCGGAGCTGGGCTATTGCCCGGTGGTCGTCGTGGGCCACGCGCTGGGTAACGACTTGCGGAAGCTGTACATGACGCTGGGCTTCGATCCGTACGCGCTCGGCAACATCGTCAAGGTAATCGACACGCAGCAGCTAGCTCGCCAATGCGGCAAGTGGTCCCACGCATTTGACCAAATCGGCCTGGAGCGACTGGTCGGCCGCTGCGGCTTCGCCTACCGTGATGCACACACCGCCAGCAACGACGCAGCCATGACCATCATCAGCGCTATCCAGATGGTGCTCCCCAAGAACGTCGGCGTTGATTCTGGCAAGTCTGTGCAAAACGTGGTGGACATAGTCGAGAAGGCTAGCAAGGCGCACTCCTGGAGCTGGGGCTCTGCCAAGTACTGTCTGCGATGCGGTAGTCGCGGCCACACCCAGAAGAACTTCAAGGGCAAGCCGTGTTATGTCGCAGTGAAGTGCCACCACTGCGTGAACGCTGGACGAATAGCGGCATCGAATAGCCACCGGACTGAGTGCTGCATCTCCTACACGCTTGATCAGGCGGTGCTCAACCGCGTCCCTAAGATCAAGGTCGTTCCAGCTGGGGCCGACTCGCTGCAAGAGGGTGCAGGCGAGAGCGAGGAAGAGGACGAGAATACCGACTGGGGCGACTACTAGCTACGCACAAAGATCGTTTAACAGTGGTTGGTTTTCTGCCAAGGTTGATAGTTCTTCAACGTAGTGGTCGAAGGTCGGGTGTGATACTGGCCGGTTCATGTGGGTGGACACCGCCGAGGGCTGAATGTTCAAGAGATTTCGGACTTCACTGCCAGATGATTCTTTCCATGGTTGGACGAGCGATTTCTTTCTCTTCGGAGCATGTGAATGGTGTTCTTCAGCCCTGAAATGACACGAGAGATCTATTCTTTAGAATCTACACATCCGTCAATTGAAGTTGATAACCTGTTCGTATACCCACATCTGCGGTTCTGGGGTAAATAACCTTGTCGGAGCCCACGATATGTAGTTGTCGTCGCTCTAATGCATTTGGTGGTGAATAAGATAGCCATAGCCGGCCGGCGAGTGTTCGCGAAGGCAGGAAGGCACTATGACGTCATATTGCAAACAATGCCAAGCCCGCTTTGCCTCAACATTCTTGAGGTCTGATTCCTGGACTTTACACCTCGAGCCCGACGTCCCACCAAGGCCAGATAACGGCGATATTTGATATTGACGCCATGTTCGCGCTTGTTCCCCAGCCGTTGCTTCGAAGGACCCCTCCAAGGGCGCTGCCGGCTTGGGGATCACCGCGCCGCGACCCTCGTCCAGCGAAGCTACCACAAAACTCCCTTCTAGCGAAGCCCTGCGATTGCTACCCTGCCCGTGGCGGCGGAAGGATCAGGCAAGAATGCGCTGGAATCCTCCGGCGTGGCGCGGGACGACCGGACGACCAGCTAGGATAGCGCACCTCCACGGATTCCATACCTTTCCGTATCCTTCATGAGCCAACATCGAACAGCTCGCCTGATTCGACGTTAGCTACGGCTCGTGACGCAGTAGGCGACCTCGTGAATCTGGCCGGAATGTCTCTGGGCATATCTAGGAACTCGTCATCGGCAAACAAGTCCTCTACGAACTCGGACGCGCTTGGGCTCGAGAACAGGAACTTAAGGGTCGCCATCGATTCCTGCTTGTAGATTTCGACAAGATGCGCGATAAGTTTTCTCGTTCCGCGGCACCTTTCGGGCGGCCGAGCGAAATCCCGTAAACCGTCTAGTACGAGAATCACTACAACGTCCGGACCCAGACCGTGGACGAGGGCTTGAAACATGGAACATATGGAGCCGATGTCCCCTGGCTTCGTACGGTCTGAAACCTGGCGTAGAACAGCGGGGTCCAGGTATGCGCGGGCACGGTTTACGAGCTGCATCAGAAGACTCATGGCCACTTCATCGGGGCTACCATTACTGTCCGTCTCCCAGTCTCGATGCTGGCTGCAAAAGAATGCCAATGGTATAACGGTCACCCCGGCTTCGTCTTCCGGATTGTGCGCTTGGTAGCGTTGCAGTAAGCTCTGGACTATTTTCGCGGCGAACAGCGAAACTTCTGAGTCCGGTCGTGGATGTGTGCGCCCATTTAGAAGCAACAGTGAAGGCTCGTCGACTGTTAGCCATGCGCGTAGTCGCGGATTTGACTGCAGAGCAGCGATACGGCCCGCATCGTAGCCTGCGCGACGCGGCCGGTGCAGCCGCTTCGTCAGCGCAGCGCTGTCGTTCCACACGAGATCCGGCTGGTAGAGGAATCGCTCGAGTAGTTGCTCGATGTTCACATCGGGCGCCATCTTCAGAAGCCGGGGATGCCCACCGGTCACGGCTCTTTGCTCAATTGCCTCCATGATTATATTGTTCAACAGCGGGTGCAAGTTTTCCAGTACCTCGACACGAGCGAATCTTTCTTCCATGTTCTTTTGGCCTTTTATGAGCGTTTGGAGCTGGGTATGGATGCTCGCCTGCGCGTACGTCGTCCAGTACTGCAGCTGCACTGTCTCGCGCCCGGTCTCTCGTGAGAGCTTCGTGAGCCGCGCCTCAAAACTCTGGGCGGCCATCTTAAGCTCGGCCTGAATATCTCGGAGTCGATCGGTAAAGCCCAGGGGATCCACGAGAAGCTTGACGCCCGTCACTAAAATGAGAAGACTTGTAAGCAAGGCATCGTGCCGTTAAGATTGGCATGTGTACTCACTCCAGGTGTTCTTTAGGAACCATAAGAGGATGTGGTTCAAGAGGTGGAATGATGCGACGTACAAAGCGGCGGCTCGTTGGTGTAGCTGTTCGTCTTGGTCATACATCTGAATATTTGCCGCGAGGTCTTTCAATTGCGTGGGCAGGTCCTCCAGTGTTCGGTACACTTCCTGGCGGTATATACCGGTCGTCCGTAACCCGGTAAAGACCACTTTAAGGCTCCCGCAGAGCACAGAGGTAAAGCCGAAAGAGTCGTTTGGAATCAAGCTTGCGGCGCTCTGACCCGCGCCAGCATTGCGACAAAGGCCTCTAAACGCTCGCTTGAGCTTTCCCAAGGAGCCTGACATGTCCTTGTCTTTAGCAGCCAGTTCTTCAAGGCCACTGCAGGCATTCTGAACACTTTCCTGGACTTCCATCCAGTCATGGCTGGTGTCCACGTTCAGCATCGGCTGCTTCATCTTCTTTCGGTATTTATTCGCAGTCGCCAGCAGTTCGTCACGTGCGAGGAAAGCAACCCGATATATCTCGTCGTACGGTCTAGCAGGAGTCAGCCCTAGAAGTTTGTGTCCAAGCGTAAGAAGTCTCCAACATCGTGCAGTCGGTCCCATCCGCCTCCAGCACCCATCGTTTCTTTTTGCCGTCGAAGACTATCCCCGAGCCTGGTCTGGCTAACAAGGCTGGATGACGTGCTCCGTCCAGCGATGTTACCATATACTCCGCAACTTCGTAGTCCGACATTTTGGTCGTCCGACCTCGAGGGACCGGGGTGGAAGTGCAGGATGATCTGGCGTTGGGCCTGTTAAGAGGATGGAGGCAGCCGTATTCTGGGGAGGCTGAGCAGGAGCTGGGACCGAAGTTGGCAATGCCTCACTCGCGGGGTATCGCGCGTTTAGACGGCAGCCAATTGACCAGGGGTTGTCGCATAATTCTTACACTATTGGTCAACATTCCGTTCCCAAACACTTGGCTGCATCTAAGGTGGTGAGCCGTCCTCCTTCAGGATGGGGGCGGAAACAGTGGGATTGACTGGCTCAGCCGGATCGATAAAAGGCTGGCTACGAACGAGCGCACCTTCAGTTCTGTCCTTTCCAACCTTGCGCATCCATCCACGGCAACCACTGTTGCCCAAATCGACCCACGATAGCCCGGTACCGGGTGCACGGAAGGAACAATGACCGGGGAGAGCGAAGGGCGCTCCGATGTGCCGCCAGTCGATACACCGGTCGGCTCAGAGGTCAAACAGCCTTCAGAAAAGAATGACGCGGATTCCGCTGCACTCTCCGACGACGGTAACTCTACTGGAGGAACGGAGAACGGGGATGGAGGTAGCGACTCAAGTGAGTTGCTCTCCCCGCGCCTCCCGCCTCCACCCCCTCCGCCCCCTCCGCCGAAACAAGATGGCCCGCCAAGACGTCGCGGAGAGACATACGCGAAATATCTGTAAGCGTCCGGTTTCGATTTTGGGGTACCGTTTGGACATGAAATGCCCAACACCAGCAGACCTTTCCGAGAGCTGTGGACTAACTAGGAGTCATCCAGGAAACGGACATGGTTGTGCGAGGTCGAGAAGGCTTCAATGCAGGAATGGAGGAAAAAGAGCTGGCATAACGTCAGATGGCCTATGCCCATTATCCAGGCCTTCTACCTTCAAAAGCCGGGGACTCAAGCAACTGCTCCGAGCGATGAGACCTCAAACCCAGATGCAGAGAAGGAAGAGGCGCCGACGCCGGATGACTCCGGTGACCTCAAGAATCTGCAGAGAATTCAAATCAATTCAGATTATCTCCATCATGAGCTACTCTCGATAGCTTCTGTCTCGACATTGTGGGATCCACTCATGTGAGTATCTATGGAAGCATGCTTCGATGAGTTTACTGACATAAGGACCATATTTAAGCGTCCCACCACCTTACAAGGTATGACATGACAGCAAACTGGCGACTATATAATGGCTCGGCTAACATTTCTGATAGCTTTTTTTGCGATTTCTTCCCGAGATCGAAACACGGTTAGCCAAGCTTAAGGGCGAGCTGAAGGAACCGACGGTACAAATAGACGCTGGCGATCCGGAAGACCCTACCGAAGAGGATGCAAGTACCGCGGGTAAAGTGACGGAAGATAGCGCTTCAGTACCTGGGAGTAGCGATCAAACCCCAGATGAGGCCAAAACGAAACTCAAGAGGGCCGATACCGAGCTCGATGCGGATCGAAGAGATCTTCTGATGGCCCGATACAACCACCTGGAGTGCCTCTATCAGTTCATTCAGGATGAACTTCGCGAAGAGATCGAGGTTAGGCGCCGAATTGCGGATGGAACTCTGAGGAGCATCCGATTCGAGGATCTTTGGCATCTAGTCGAGCCAGGAGACATCATCTTCTCGAAAGACCACGGGCGCGATCAGCTCTACAAAGTGTACTTCGTTACTGGTGGCCAGGCTCTTAAGCGGACCCGAAACAGAGAAGAGATCACAGAGATCAACAGCATTAGGGACAAATTACGATACTGGATTCCCCCGGAGCAGCGAGAGGAAGATGATGAAGAGACTGTGGAGAAGATGCTCCGGGAAGAGGGCTCCGGCATTGGCACCTGGTCGCCATTCAAGGTCGACTGCTACATGATGGCTTTCGATGGCGAATACTGCGGGCCAATCGATGTGTGCAAGAAGATTCGCCCCTACGTTGGTGAGAGGGAAATCACGAGTCTTCCCATGTACCCACTGCGCTTTCACCCTAAGCACGATGCCCTCGTGCGGGAGATGGAAACCCGCGGCAGAAAGTTCTTGTTCGCCGGGGGGCACAAGAGCTACGACGGGAGGACTCTCGCTATGAAACGGGATGAGAGCCGTGTCGAGATCCAGAGCGACGTCTACGTGGACTTCGACGCTTATTATCAAGATTTTCCGGTCAAGAAGCCCAGCCTTGGGAAGCTGCTTAGAAGTAAGCAGAACTACGCGGAAGTAGAAGAGTTTTGTGCACCGGGTATATCGGTGTATCGCTCGCTGAGTGGCCACGAAGTGGACTCAAAGCTATCAGACGACTTCCTCACTGTGAACCGCATACATCTGGAGCGCTTCAAGCCGGAAGAAGATGAGATCTCTCCAGATCATCTCTGTTTGATGCCCCATTATGTCATTGGCTATGCCTTCCAATTACGCAAGTGGTGTACGTATATCCCCCTCCTTCGCCTTGCTGGTTTGCTCGCGGCTTTTCTAACCACTTTGACCCCGCAGACCATCTAGATTTGGCCTTAGTCCAGGAAATAGACCGAGAGTCGGCGAATGCAAGAGCAGCAGGCTTTGACGACCTAGTCATCCCAAAACGCTACCGCGATCTCCTCGTTGCGCTCGTTGATAACCATGCATCCGGACTGCAGCGCGAAAAGGAGAAAACAAAGCATGGCGCCGGGCTCCCCGTCCCAACTCAGATCGACATCGTCCGCGGCAAGGGCCAAGGTCTCATCATTCTCTTGCATGGACCTCCTGGCTCTGGCAAGACGAGCACTGCGGAAACGATAGCGGCCTATACGCGGCGTCCTCTATATTCCATCACTTGCGGAGATATCGGGACGACTCCAGAGATCGTGGAGACCCGTTTGCTTGAGCACACTCGGCGCGCCGATAAATGGGGGTGTGTTCTACTTTTGGATGAGGCGGACGTCTTTGTGAGTTCGCTGCAGTGCGCTAGGGGGTGGGCAATGCTAATCTTTCCATGTAGCTCGTCCAACGGGACTGGCAGAATTTGCAGCGCAACGCTCTAGTGTCTGGTAAGTGCCTCATTCTCTATTAACGAACTTTCGCTTACCAGCGCAGTATTTCTTCGTCAGCTGGAATATTACGCCGGCATTCTCTTCCTCACCACAAACCGCCCCGGCGTGCTCGACGAAGCCTTCAAATCGCGCATCCACATCTCCCTGCGCTATCCGAGCATCGACCTCGAGTCCACGAAGACCATGTGGAAGAACATCATGAAGCGGCTTGAAGACGACAACAAAACGGCCCAGATCAAAGTAATCTTCGACAAAGACGCGCTCCTCGAATTCGCCCAGCGCCACTTCGAAAAGTGCGACCAGGAGGGCGTGACGTGGAACGGGCGGCAGATCCGCAACGCGTTCCAGACGGCGCTCGCGCTCGGCCACTACGAGCGGCTGGCCAAGATGCGCGAGGCGGACATGACGCCCGAGGAGGCGCTGGCCAGCGGGAAGAAGAAGTGGACCAGTGTCAAGCTGACGAAGGCGAATTTCCAGAAGATTGCGAAGACGGCGACCGAGTTTGAGCAGTATATCGAGAGCTTGAGGGGCAACGATAGCGTCAATGCGAGGGAGTCGGAACTCAGGTATGATGATTATGATTCGCAAAGGCTGAGGGCCAGGAAGCAGTATCCTGCTAGTTCGGGGTCGCGGGATGCGGGGCATCAGGGCCATCATGGGCGGAGAGGGCAGGTGGGGAAGCAGAAGAGGCCTGTTCATGGGGGCAAGGATACGGATGAGGAAGAAGAAGAAGAAGAGGATGATGAGAGCGAGGATCTTTCGCCAGATGAGAACGACTGAGTTTCAGAGATAGGATGGGGAGTGGAAAACAGGAGGAAACGGTTCTGATCCGGGCTGGAGGAATCTTCACTGCAATAATGGAGAAATAATACTAGACCTCTTATGCGTCTCGATCTCACACTCCTTCGTGTCTTATTTATCCACTCCACCCCGACTAACCCCTGCCTCTATCTACACACCTCCGCTCACTTGCCCCCATAACCCCTTCCATCCACGGATACACAATCCCGTTCGCCTCGGGATACCCCATGTGCAGCCTCCCCTGCACAAACCGCATCTCCTTCGGGCTCCCATACTCAGCTACCAGCATACTATCCTCGATAGGCATACACCCATCCAGCACGCCATTAACCAACAGCAACCGACAGCTCGGCCTGCCCTCCGCAACGACCGCGACGCCCTCGCCCTTGCCCGAAATCAAGCTAAACTCGTCCTGGCACTTCGCCTTCATCTCCTCGAAGTCCGCATAGCCGTACTTCTGGCAGTACGCTTCCTCGAGGCCGAACGGGTACTCGTGCTTTGCGATCTGGCTGAGCCACTCGCGCCCGATGTAGTGGTGCGTTCCTGCGCCGTGGCCGACGCTGGCGAGCAGCTTCTCGCGGTGCGTGTGCGCGAGGCGGATGGCGTAGTAGCCGCCTGCGCTGAGGCCCCATGCAATGACCCGCTTCTCGTCGAGGTGCGGCTGCTGCTCGATCCAGTCCAGGATACTGCTGAACAGGCGATCGGGGGAGAGCGGATCGCGCTTGTTGGCCGGGCAGTCGACGGTTGTGCCGGGGATGTCGCAGATGAGGGTTGCCCAGCCGCGGGCGAGATGCTCGTCTGTGCGCTCGGTGTTGTCGGGGCGGTGGCCGTCGAGGCCGGTGATGAGGAGGATGGTGGGGAAGGGGCCGGGACCGGGGGGTTTGCGCAGGTAGACGGGGATTTGGGGACCGTCGTTGTTGGCGGCATGAGCGTGCGGGATGATGTGTTCCTCGATCGGGACGTCCCAGAGCTTTGTCCCGCGGAGGTAGGTTTCTTTCTGCATTTCGAAGACTTGCTTTTTGAGCTCTGTGCCGATGTAAGGAAAGCGCGCTAGTCTGAACACCGCATTCGCGCGGAGATACAGCTTCTTCGCTGCTTCCTTGTCCTTGGTTTCTGTCTCTTGGGCTTCTTTGGCGAGGTTTTGCGCGACGGGGAGGAAGGCGTTGGTGTAGTCGTCCGAGTAGGGATCGTTGATGTTTTGGGAGATCAGGTGCTCAAAGACGGGTTCGAAGTCTTCGAACTTTCCGTCGTGGAAGGGGTAAACACCGCGACGGCAGGGGAACATCCATCGCATTTCCCACAGGTTCTTGATGGAGCCTGCATGGCCGTAGTCTTTGGTGAAGAGATCGCCGAGGATCCAGGTTCCGTTGGGCATGATAGGTGACGGTGACTGTTGCAGACGTGGCCGGCGTAAGATGATGAACAGTGATATATAGGACGCTTGGATGGTAATTATTGAGCGCTTGAATGGTCGTGCTTCGTTGGAGCATATTACCGCTTTCGGTACAGCGGGGCCGAGCCCGTAGTCATTCCGTCTCACGCCAACGGCCCGGCCGGGACCCCGCAAATCGAGCCTCGTAAGGCTGGGGTATGCCAACCATGGCAAACTAACCTATGCTATTGCGAAAGGCTAGAAGAGGCGAAGGCGGCGAAAAGGGTTCGGGGTTGCCAGAACGTATTATTCTATCGTCGCGCCGCTTCAGATGCGTCAAGGAAGATCCTCCTCTTCAGCCCCTCTCCTTTCCGTATATCTTCTCACCACATCGCCCAGCTTCCTTCTCCCATCGCTTCTCTCAAAAACTTGAGCATGATCACAGGTCGGCCACCAGAGAGTTTCCAACCCCGTCCCTCTCCACTCGCCCTCCTTCCAGTCCGTATTCTCACTCTTCAGATCCAAGCCCGCGAGGTACTTCCCCACAGTTTCCGTATCAACAATCAAGTCTCTCCCACCCAGCGAAACAGTGACGTCGCGACCTCTTATGTCGTCCTTCCAGAGGATGTTCTGCGCCCAGAAGAAGTGGCGTGCGAGGGTGTGTGCGACCATCATGTCGGTAGAGGCGAAGTAGTAGAGCTGGTGTTCGTTTGCGCCACGGGGCGGGCGGGCTGTGAAGTTGTATGCCACGTCTGGGAGGTGCAGGAGGAAGGTTACGGGATCAACGAGTAGCATGGGCCCGATTTTCGCGGCTGTGGTGGGGTTCTGCAGGAGGTGCGTAGTTATGACAGAGCCGTATGAGTGGCTCGCTAGTACCACTCTATCGAAGCCATGGCGTTCGAGAATCATATTGATTTGGCGGCATATTTCTTCTCGATCGAGGATGGGTCGGGTGATGCGGAAGCTGATGGGCATCAGCTCCAGAGCGAGAATGCCGATTTCGCCGTCTTCTGGACCGATCGGGTCGTGCTTGTTTATCTCGGTGAGAAATTGGGCGTACGAGTACAGGCCCACGCTGATGCCATGTATGAAGAGGATTGGTAGACGGGTTTTCGATGTGTGCGGACGGTACCAGTAGCCGATGTCGGGAGCGGGAGACACGCGACGTGTGAATAATGAAGCTAGACGAGGCGGAAAGATGACTAGACTCGAGCGGAGACGCGTCCGATAGAGGAGAAAGCCGTTATAGCGTAGGTAGGCTGCCGTGAGGGTGTCCACAATGAACACCATCTACAAATCGTTAGCACGCGCCCACTGCAGGAGGGAGCAGACATACCAGATACCACACCACCGGCCGATGGAGCATCTTCACCTTATCCACCGTCAATCTCAGACTCTTCGCGCTGCCTCTCCCCGGCTCAAGCGTCCTCCCCAACAACGTCTGCACCCCATCCACATACTCGCTCAACTCCTCCTCTTCCTCACTTCTCGTCTGCTCGTCAACCGGTGCCTTCCCCTGCCCGGCCTTCGCCTCGTCCCCCTTGTCCAGCAAGGCCCACCGGAAAAACTCCCTCACATTCTCCCTCCGCACCTCCCAGCTCTTCGCCCCGAGCATCCACCTACTCAGGTAATATTCTGGATTCGGAATCAAGTCCCAGCATTTCCAAAATAGCGCTTTGCGCTCGTCGCGGTCGATAGGCTGGGGATGGGAGGCCGAGGCCTGCAGCGACCGCTTGCGGGGCAGGAAGACGAGCAGCCAGAAGGCGGTTTCGAGGATGCACCAGGCGAGCAGGAACTTGGTAAAGGGCGAGGAGGGCGGGTCGGCGATGGAGAGCGAGCAGTAGAAGATGCTGAGGGGCGTGACGGCGCGCAGGAGGAAGATGCAGACGCGGATGAAGATATATTCGGGGATGCTGGTTCCGATCATGACGATGTGGGGGGAGTCAAGCTCCGTGCGAGAGAGCTTTGGATGTGTGGGATATAGAAGCAGTTCAGCCGATCTCCATGGTGGGAGATAGGCGGTAGAGGATAGGCAGCGGAGGGCGGAGCATGGCTGACGAGCGGCGTGGCGGCGAGCGATGATGCAGTTGGGGCGGTTTCATCCTGCGGACCTCTAGTGCGGCGCTTAGTCAGCCGCGTCAAACACGCCTCCCGCACCCGCACCCGCACCCGCACCGCTGCAGGGGCATACTCAACACCAAGATCGATCTGGATGCATCACCAAGCATCGTCAAGAATCCAGCCCAACCGCGTCAGTCCGAGTCAGCGAGCTATTATTGGGCGTGCCCGGGCACATTGGGCGGGCATCTCTGTCGACTGAACCGCGGAATTCGGCACGCCTCGTGACAGGGTGTACTGTACGTCACTGTTACTAGCTGGCTTTTTCTATTGCTTATTTACACTACAATCATTGCTTGGATATTATAAAGTGTGGCTGTCGTGCCTTCGTGGGACCTATTACAAGTTTCCGCTTCTCCTCTCGTTCGACCTTCTCCTTGCGTGTGTCGCCATTGTTGCTTTGCCTCTACATCTACCTATGCCATCTGGCATTCATCTCTCTCCACCCTTCTCCCTAGTGGCCATCCATCCTGTGGCCCGCATCCTTCTCGTTGATGCCCACTTTGCCCGTCTCCAAGTCCTGCTGCGCGCGCTGCTTCTTGCCCGGCCCAAACCACCCCGTCTTGAGCCACTTGGCCTTGTTGCCCTGCCGGGACTGTTTCCTCTTGACGCGCGGGTAGTTGATGGGCGACTCCGGACCCTCGAAGATGGCGATATCGTACACCAAGCAGCCCCATAGCCCACCGAAGATGGATGCCGCCCACGCCTCAGCCCACCAGCCCTGGACCCACATCGTGGATCCGTACCCAACTACGTTGGGAACGAAGCGCGTGGCCAAGTCCTTCGCTGGGTTCGTTTGAGGGCCTGTGTTGTAGCCCAGGCAGGATGCCATAGAGAAGCCCACGAGGCCGATGATGAAGGCGTGCATGCCCGCGCCAGGGGGAGAATTCGAGTCGTCGCCCATGGCCAGGACGGTTCCGCTCATGATGGCTGCAGACGTGAAGTCGGTCCAGAAGGCGGTCTGGGGCGTTGCGAATGGCGCCGGCAGGGTGAAGAATGCGGTGCCGCTGCCCTTGCTCGTTGACGTCTTCTGGGGGTCGAAGTTCATGATCGCATCGTGGTATATCCCGTAGGCGATCCAGACGCCGCAGATAGCGCCCAGGATCTGCGCGCAGATGTATATGAGACACTTTCTCGCCGGGAAGCCGCGAAAGACGGAAAGATTGATGGAAACCATGGGGTTGCCTGGACCGTGTGAGCTTTATCTCTGGGCAAACAGGAACGCTAACGACTTACAGTGAGCGCCGGAGATACCGCCCGCGATGTAAATCGCCATCATCGTGCCCATGCCCCACATGGCGGCGGAAAGGCCGAAGGTGCCCGCTTCGCCACCAGATGTCTTCATCTGGAGGTTGGCGCAGACGCCCATCAGGACCATCACCATAGTGCCCAGCCACCTGCTTCAATCAGTCCACATTCCCGAATTAGACCAGCTGTCACTTACTCCGCCAACGGCTCCCTGATCTTGCGTCGGATGCTAAACCAGTAATTCGGCTCTGTCTTGTCATCCTCCTCATCCTCTGGGGCTTCCGTTAATGTCTGGTCACTGTTATGACGGTCGGCGTTGGCATAGCCATTCGTCCTGTCGGCGAGCTGCTCAACCCAGTTGGCGTTTCCGCCCTCGTCCTCGTTCTCCGGATTGCGACCATGGCCGGCTGGCCCTCCAGCCGTTTCTCCCAGAGCGCGACCACGGACTGGCGAACCATGATGACCTGAAGGGCCGCCGCCGACCTAGAATGGACCGTTTAGCATTTACCCCAAATGCTGGTGCTGGTGCTGTGGTAAATTACCTGTCCCTCGGGCTTCCCACTTTCGCTCCCAGGCTCGGTCCGCTCGCGTTCATTGACCCGCTGGGTCTTGCGCTGGTTCTTGTTCTTCCTCCAACGGCCCCCCCTCTTCTGTCTAGGAAAAGGCTTAGCCAGCCCAATGGTTGGCGAGGGCCGTCGACCGTAGTCGCCGAAGCCCTCGTCAGAGTCATAGCTGTCATAGTCGTCGTGGCCGCCTGGCTTGTCCTGCTGCGGACCAGCCAAGGAGTAGTCAGGCTTGGGACGTCGGCCACTGGCGCTATTGCCGCCCTGCATTCCTCGCCTCTCGCTTCCCATTTTCGAGCGGAGGGAACTGAAGCGATTCATCAGGCTGTTCTTCGTCGACGCGTTACGGTTGACGCCGTCTGGGTTCCTTTGCGTGCCTTTACTCGGGTTCAGCGAGTAGTTGCGGAAAAGGGAACGCTCGTAGCGGGCATAGGTCTCGTCGGGGTTGGTGGGGCCCAGAGTTTTTGATGGGCGCACCTCGTCGTACTCGATGGCGGACGTGAGAGGCTCGGTGGACATGTCGACGTCGGCGATCGGGATGATAAAGAGGAAAAAGGACTCACAGATTTCAAGAGAGATGGGGAGAAGCTGTCTGCTTGGTGCGGATCATAGGCAGGGTCGGGTACATGTCGGGTAGCTTTATGGAAGGGAGCACCATTAGAGCCCATATCGAATGCCCTGCGGCAATGATATCATCCAGCAAGGACTTCCGCCTGGTCCCAACACTCGAAGCAGTAACTGGAATACGGCCAACTCGTCGAATTGGGCAGCTTCCTTGCCTCTCAGCGACTCCAGTCTCCCCGGACGAATTCCCAGAACCCGCTCGCGATATCCCATCAATTAAGCCCTCGTCCAAAAACAGCAACACCGCCTTGCCGCCAGCCATGGCCCAGAATCCCATTTTCTCATCGACATCCGATGCGATGCAGCTTGTTGGATTGCCATCTGCACGAACATGGGATTTCATTCGCAGCCAGGGGCGGCTGCCGACCATGCCTGAGGCAAACAACCGGGATCACGCCAAGTTTTCGCCTCGAGGTCGCAATCCTCGCTAGGCTTCGCTTGCGGTTGTGGCAACGCGCGCTGCTGATCTCCCGGGGTGTCGACGCTTGTTCCTAGTGCGCCGTTGACGTGGTCTTTCAGAATTTGGATGGGAGCGCGGCCGTGGAGCGCGACGATGCCTTGCTTGGAGATTGGGTTGATTGACGGGGCTGACCGATCGGGAAATCGGTATCGAAGATAACGATAAAAGGGGGTAACAAGTCTATTCGAGCCTGCATGAGCGCTAGTATTTTATCCTGGGGCGAGGTGAGGTTGCCGATTGCTGATCGGGTGTTGGAGATAGCGCTGCTGTTGGTGTCGAAGCCGAAGGGTTGTGGGCCATGACGTCTCGCTGCAGGTCGCATCTCCATGTCTTTCTGGAAACTCACTTGATCTTGCACTAATCATACGCTCATGCTGCTGTATTGTTTGCATAGAAGCGGAGCGTTGGGGCCACGACGGGCCGGGCTCGATGTTGAATCCGCTCGCCAAAGGAAACGTCAGCTAAGACGAGCAAAGGGAACGACAGGGGACAGGCGTCGAGACAGCCGCTGCATGGCCGTTGGGTGATTTTTGAATACCTTTCTTCGTTCTCGTTGTCGCCCACCTCATGTTGCTTAACCGCAGCTTGCCTCGCTCGATCTAGCAAGCTCATATACCTCCTTTCCAGTCATCGGTCAGGCTACTACGAGGATAGACCTGCCTCTTTTTGTTCGCTTTCTTGAGTACGCGATGGCAGACACCGCCGGAAAGCAGGCGCCAATCCTGGAGATGACGTCCCCTCCCGGTACAGTGGAGAATTGGATGCGAGCAGCGCAAACGTCGGGACAGTTCCGCCAGTGTTTCCGAAGCTGACCATTCAGGTTGTGTCGACACGGCGCTCGATATGTACACGAGGTAAGTCAGTGTGTCGGGTCGCGGCGGAGTCTTTTTGTGGCTAAAGTCTCGTGTAATGCTTGACAAAACTCGGTTCCTTCTCAGAAAGCCATGAACCTCGCTCCAAGAAGTCGACGATCGTGGAGTAGGACACCAAGCCGGTAGCGACAGTTCCCAGACCTTCGCTAATGGAAGTTCACTCTCATGGAGCAGGAGGCCACACCATCTGCTTTAGCGATAGAGCTGGCGAGCGGTCTGAACGCGCCGGAGAGCAGGACCGGATACCAGTGGATCTCGAACCGCGCCTAGGATTCTCCTGGCCCCGCACTAGAAGCTGACGAGGTAGAAGCTGAATAGCTCTAGCAGTGTCTCGAATGCCTACACCTGGGCATCGCACCTCCGAATGTCCTTCCATAGCGGATGCGCGGTTCGCACGGATCGCAAAAGTCCCTCCGTAGCTCTTCACCGCTAGAGTCACCGCAGGAAATCTCACGGCGTTAGGTAGATGCGGCGATAAACATCGCCAGCCTTTATCACCAGTCACATAGCACACGGCGCCAACTTCCCAGAAACTCTTGCATTCCCTATTCACTACCCAACAAAAAAGCTTCTTCATCCTTTTGGCAAATGCAAGAGTTAGTAGTAACCCCCTCGCATCTTTTTTGCCCAGTCGTCGATCATGCGGCGTTTGCTCCCTTCCGCGATGACGCTTGCGCTTTCAAACACACCAAATGAGGGGCCTTCGTCTTCAGAACCCCGTTTCCGCTTTCCTATCACTGGTTCTGGGGGGGGACTGGGGGGTGGATGGGACCCAGCTAATGAACTCTAGTCGATCTCGTTGAGGTCCGCTTCTTCCTCCTGGGCCTTCGAAGTCGGCGCACCGGTTTCTGCGTTCCACTCGGCGCTGGTGGGGTCTACCTTGTTGTTAAGGATGCCCTCTGTTGGTAATTGTAAAGAGCCTGCATTGTCCTCGTCGAAGAGAAGAAGCTCGCTTGAGTTGGGCTGCTCTTTTTGTTGGAGCGGGCCGTGTGACTTCTCTTGCCGTCTTTCCGCCATTGCTTCAACCGGTGTGTGTATTTTCTGACCTGACGCTTCGTCTGAACGCGCTGCTTCTGGCCTGTTGTTCGCGTTGTCTGTGTTTTTCTTGCTCTCACTATCGACTATTTCCTTCTTGGACGCATCGCAAATGGACCCCGGCTCACTCTCAATTGGCTGAGAATCGACTCGGTGTTCTGTTTCTTGATTTGTATGGTCGCCTGGGAAGCTTCCGTCATTGGATGGAAGGGGCGTGTCCAGATCGATATTGCCGATCAATGGAGCATCGCCTCTGCTTGCCGCTGTATTCGCATTTTCAAAAAGAGTTGGGGGTTCCGGCGCAGTTTCGGGTCGCCCTTTGTCTCTGGGATAAGCCGGCTCGTCCCCATCGGTATCATGATTTTTCAGGCGAATTTCCTGGTTGGCGCCTTCTTCTGATAGAGTGGCCGGACAAACACTGCAGGCCTTGTCATTATTTCCGGCAGTTGTCTCGTCCTTGTCGGTTGGCGTGCCTGCACTGGCCTCCCGATTGCATCTGTCCAGCTCTTGGGTGCTCTTGGAACCCTCCCCACGTTCCAAATCAGTTCGTACGGTCTTCTCGGTGGCGTTCGCGTCCTCTCTCTCTGATATAGCAGCGGCACCCGAGGACCGTGGTCTGGGATCCACATTGATGGTTACCACGGCTGCGTCGTTCCGCCAATTCTGAACCCTCTGCTCATCCTTCCCCATCACCATGGCGTCAAGCTCTTCGCAGTCCAGGTATTCATTTGCCATCGCGTTCGGCACCACTGCGACGATGTTCACGCCCGCTTCTTTCGCCTGCGCAATAGCGTGGTCGTACTCATCTTCCGCCTTCTTTAAGGCATGGGTCAATTCCTGTCCACGTCGAACGAATATTGGACCGAACTCGTGTGCGAAATCAACCCCGACGCGGCCAAATTGCTGAGCGACATATTCGCCGAACTGGCGCCTATACGTTAGCCGGTGCTGGTCGTGGTTTTCTTGGGCATGGCGAAGGGCTCGTTGTTTCCCATCGATGTTCTGGTTCATCAGAGCCCAGGTATCTGGCCGTGGGTTCGGAGTCGGCTGATCGGATCCGTTGGGCGCGGCATTGGCAGTCTCCTCTTTCTGGATGTGCTCAGAGTTCTCTTCTAAACTCCCACGCGCCGAGCCTCCACTGCGTCCCACTGCCTTGTGTGCGTTGCCGGGGTCTTCTCCAACTATCACCCCGTTCGGTTCGTTGCCAAAGCCTGGAAGAACACCGCAATCTATGAGGATATTATCGTGGAGATAGTCGATACCGCGCATGTATCTGTGCCATGTTTCTTCTGCCTTGCGGATTTCCTCATAGAGCTCCCTTGTCCTTCTGTCGCACTCTTTTTCCGTATTTCTGGCATTTTCAGCCAAAGGAAGGTCTTCGGGTCCCTTGTATCGGCCACACAAAAACCGCTTCGCTTCAGCTCTTCTAGAAGCTATCTCTTGCAGTTCGCTCTCAGCCCAATGCTTGAACTGCAAGTAATCTCGTCCCCGAGCGCAACTGTCCTTCATCCGTGTCCCGAGTTTGTGAGAAAGGAGGAGGGCGAGCACAGGCTTATCGCCGTCGAAACATTGGACGATGCGTGCTGGTCCGGAAGTATACAGGGATTCGTCGGAACCTGCATCTAGGCTCCCGGCCTGCCATTCGATAAAACTGGGCAGTTGAATGAAGCCTTGTTCCGTCTTGCGAATTCCGGCGCCGTGGGGTTGGCTCTCGGATGTTGTGCTGGCGCTTGTATCTGTACTTGACTGCCCGCTGTAGGACTCTTCCGAACACTAGTCTATGTCGGTACAGCCATTTTGGCTCGGGACCTCCTGTGGTAGGCTTTGATCTTCGCATTCCACGTCTGGCTCTGCCCTGCCTATCTGTTCTTCTTCTTCCATGTTTCGGTGCAGCCGTGTATCATCGTCTTCTCTGACATCAATCCCTCCCGCATGTTCGGAGCCGGGAACATGAGAAGCGCTCCCGCTAGACTCTCCTAGTATTTCATCATCTGTTTCTTGCAAGAGCGAGTTGACCAAGTATCCGGTGGCCTTTGACGTCTGTCGGAAGGCTCCTAGATCCCCGCCATCCAAGGACGTTTCACCACTCCATCCGTCGCTCTTCCGTGACTCCTCGACAACCCCCTTATCCTTCGACAGACTGCGGAGGTTCGCTGGGCACGATTGCGGCCTTTCTGGGGACGGAGTGAGCATCGATTGGGCACCCTCACTAACCATTAAGGCTGGCTCATCGGCGTTCGGCTGGACCGGATCTTCGCCGAGCTTTCCGGGTAACGATACGGTCGATGCCGATAAGGGAGGACTGGATAATTCTGAGTTGACCTTAGTTCTTTCCGTAGGGCGCTCGTCCTCTAGATTGACATCTCTGGAAGAATCGTGCCCGGAAAGGTGTGCTATGCCCTCATCTGAGTAATCAGACTCTCGATCGCGTTTGAGGCTCTGCGCGGGTGTCGGAGGAAAATGTTGGCTAGGCATCGCAACGCTAACGTTGGAAACAACTTGTGGCGTTCCGGGCATCGTGGATACCCTGCTCTAAAGGAGTGTATGTCGATCGAAATTGGGTAAGCGAGTGCTATAATCTCCAGGTATGACTTGCGTGGTTGCGTTGGGCAAGAAGACTGAAAGGTCTCGCGCGGAGAGCGGAAACTTCACCCTCGCTGCAATTACGTCAGAGGCCTTTTCACTTGTGCCGCGGGCCAGCAAGCTCATATACGCCTCTCCGGTGGCCGGTCAGGCTTACGAGGAGTGCAAGATTGCCGCGGCGGCAAACGCTTCGACCCACTTATAGAGTCGGCGGATTAGTAAGGGAAAGCTCTTTTTATCATCGTCTATCACCACTCTGTAGGTCTAATCTCACCAGATGCCTAACTAATGCCAGAAGGTCCCCAAGTGCTAAAGGCAAAGTTATACTAAGCGCTTCCTAAGTGTACGCAGTGACACCGGAACTGGCTGGGGCCGAAGTAACTGGGTTGGGCCTACTAATAATCCTCTCGAGAAGATCAGTCGTTGTGATTGTTGTCGAGCTCACCCCATAGGGTGTGGGACACACCAGCCTCTTTTTGTTCGCTTTGTTGCCTACGCGATGGCTGATACTGCCGAGAAGCAGGCGCCAATCTTGGGGATGGTGTTCTCCTACCGGTACAGTGGAGCATTGGGTGAGAGGAACGCGAATGTCGGGACGATTCCGCCCGTGTTTCCAAAGCTGGCCATTCAGGCTGTGCCGATGCTGCGCTCGGCGTGTGCATGAAGGCTTACGGCCGAAGACCAAATAAACGCTATATCAGCAACCAAGGCGCCCAGCAGATACTTCGCGACGTCTCTATGCCATTACAGACTGCCATCTCATGAGGCGTCGGTGTTTGTATTGACGAGTACCAGAGCGAACTTGATGACATCTCATAATATGAGCTTAGACAAAGGTACGCTCGCCTACTGCCCCCACCAAGCCAGGCAGACCTCAGGAACGTCCGTCCATCAAGCAAAATATCACAGATCCGCCCTAGCATCTCCAGCCGTATGTGTAACGTCCCGTCCGCCAAGCCCGAACGTCAACGAAGAAGATACAGCTACTGCTCGCGGGTCGATAGCCCTTTTCATTGACGCAACCCGCCATTGCAATAAGCCGGTTTCGCCACCGAACCTTCGAACCACCTCCACTATCAGAGCCGTGTGCCACAAAACGTGCGGTCGGATCCTTTAATCGGACTGATCCGAACCCGCTACCAGTGTTGCTCGAAGGTCCTCAGTCAAGTACTCCGCACCTCCCCACCTATAGAGAAGGTCAATGGCGTCTGTGAAAAATTCTCGCTTTTTCAGCTTAGTGAGCTGTTGGAGCTGTCCCACGGATGGTCCTGGTCTCGAACCCATAAGGGAAAGCATCTCTTGCTCATAGAGACGGTAGTCCCACCAAGCCTTGCTCCATTCTTCTTTGACTTGCTCCTTATCTAAGCCACCGTAGCGGGAGTCGATCAGTCGGTTATCGGCGTCTAATTGATTTTCGTATTCTTCCGGCCCGGCTTTGACCTCCGAGAGTTTCGGCTTTTTTGTCTCAGCGCCCGCGATTGCTAAGCTGGATGCTTTCCGCTTCAGGTCACCCGCGGCTCCAGGGACGCCTTCAGCTTGAACGGGTATTTCAGATCGAGCAGTAGCGATGGGTAGTTGATGGGAGGCAACCTGAGCAGTGCAGGGGGTTGACTCCTTCTCCTTCTCGTTGAGGGACTGGGACGTCACAGCGTTGGGCTTTAGCGCGGCGTTTCGGGCCCCGAGATCGAGTTTCTCGCTCATGGCGCCAGCCATCTCCGTTATGCCGAGGACGGCGCCACCGTCGCAGAAGATGGGGTTCGTGCGGGCCATGTTCTTGGTCTTCTCCGCAGCATCGGCAAGCCTCCGCGACACTCCCGGCCCGAATGTAAACTGAGAGCAGACCTCCATGAACAGTTCCGACGATGGGCCATCCAGAAGTCCTCCATCGGGTATCATGGTAGCATTCGGAATCACACTCCTGAAGATGCTAGCATCGATATGAGAGTTCTTGCGGGGAAGTCTCGGGCTATGTCCTATGATCTTGACCGGCTTATTGGAAGTGTAGTTCTCCTCATTGACATTGTGGAAGTCAACTTTGAGATGCTACGCCCGTCGCTCAGCGCTATAGGCCGACACGGCCTTGCCATTGCGTGTAGTCATGCCGACGAGGAAGAGTTTATTGGACGCCTTGTCGTAATGATGGACGACGTTCGGACGGTACTTGCAGGAGCACAGGCCCACCTCTGTGAGGATGTAGTGTGTGTTAGTGTCCCTCGCTCGATTGTTTGTCGTCTGCTCGATTTCCAGAACCCACAAGATAGTATTGCCTTTGTTGATCTGCTCGAGAGTCTTTTCATCCATGGGCAAGGCGTACATGTGGGTCATATCGAGACAACCTTCCGGGAGCTTGTCTCTCCGCTGCGTTAGTTGGGCCTCGTGGCTTGTAGTCGCGCTTGCGTTGGCCCCCGATTGTTCTGGCCTCAGTGGGTTCACCTTGCCCCCAGTAGGATCTGGCCGCGGGCCTCCGTTGGGATGGTGCTGCGCTAGCCGACGACTCGACACTTCGCGACCGCCACCATCACGGACATTGGGGGCACGGGTTGCCGTCCGGTTGCTACCTCCCCGGGCGACGGCGTTGTTCTGATTGTGAGGGCGAAAGTTAGCGTGATTTCCGGTGTTTCCTCGACCTCCCGTAGCAACTCCCCCAGACCAAATGTGGCCGTTCCCGTTATGCCGCGGCGGATTCTTGTTGCCTTTTTGCGGAAGTGTATCAGCGCAGGTAAGAAATGTCTAAGAGTCTACCATTCGCACCTGACCCTGGACGAACACCCCTAGCCCCACCTGCTCCCGCCTGCTTCGCTTTCTTGCCGTTACGATTCTTAGCCATGCTGCTACTCGGACATGTTAGCAAATGAAGCTATCTGAAGAGTCGGAGGTGTGGACATTGAGGGTGTGAACTTGTTCCGATCAATCCTGCGCCGGTGTTGGCGATGGCGCGTCCCTGGAGGGAGCTCCGAGACAAATATTGTAGGGCGATGTCAAAGCCTCAGAGGCAGACACTTACCTTGTTGGTGTTCTTATCCTAGAAGCAATGTTACTCGACTGTATTGGGTGTCAATTAACGGGCGTGAGAAGCTGGGAGTGGAATGCGAGTGAGCCGACGCTGGCGACATCAAGCCTAAAAACACCTCGACGCGAAGAGCGGGGAGACTAGCGCGTGCGAGCTGAAGGTCTGTTCACAGTATTCACTTCATTCCCTAAGTGAACTCGTGGTAATGAGCTTTCGCGGGAGCTCAACTTCCCAAATCAGGTTAGCTCAACGTCAGTTCGCTCAGTGGAGGGCCCGCGCCGCCCGCGTTGGCCATTTCGCTCTAGCGTATTCTGCGGTGGAGTCGAAATACCCCTCTTCTAATCGAAGGTGAAATGCGCTGTGGCTATCGAGTTAGACACCCATGACGTAGCACCGTCCAAGCGTCAACTCCGCCCCAGGAAAGTTTTGACCTTCATACAACCTACCTCAAGATTTCGACACTATCTCGCTTCCACCCATCATTGAACGGATAATCATCGATAGAAGCACATCCAACATGCACGCGATGGCGGAAGCGGTGCCGCCGGCCGAAATTTCTCCTGGCGAGCCTGACCCGCAGACGTCCAACAAGACTCTCAAGCGACGCCGTGAGGCCGAGCCCTCGGACGAAGAGGTGGTAGCAAGTTCTGAGCATAGCGCTCCCCTCGGCTTTGCCAGTACGCGGGATGAGTCTCCCTCGAAACGAGCGAAGATCGATTTAGGAATGTCCAGCCCGCCACCATCGACAGTTTCGCCACGCAACAAGAGCGAGAAGGATACTTCTGAGCATCAGGCCGACGGTCTAGTTTTGCAGAGCATAAGCTCCGCCCCATGGATACTCACTCCGTCTCCAGAAGCGTCGCGATCATATCCGTTGAATTCCTCCGAAATGCGCAAGGAAGGCGACAGTGCTTTAGAACCTCATCAATACGAAGAACATCATGATTCAGTACCTGGCACCGAAGCTCTAGAAGGATCTCCTCTGGCGTCGAGTGACAGCACTAGCGGTGCGGACTCCCGACCAGAGAACAACGGGCAGCTTAATAAACAAAGCCGCCCGGGAACGTGCGTGAAAGAGGCCTACGACGGGATTATCGAAGATCCTGTGGCAGCAAGCCAGCCCTTTGCTGCAGTGAAAGTTTGCAAGGGAACCAACCAGGACATGGACTCTGGAGATCCTCGCCCTGCCGTCCCAATGGTACCTGAAGAAAACCCGCCGCGCTCTGACGCAGCACAAGGGGATACATCTGGTGGTGTGAAGGGAAGCTGCGCGCCTGTCCCAGCAGTAGTCGTCGAAGAAGCTGATAATAATACGCCATCGGAGGCCGCAGAAGAAGACGAGAGCAGCGATGCAGAGGCATGCTCTGATGATTCCTCGAGCGAACAATCTCATTCAGACACAAGCACCAGCACACAATCCGACAGCCAAACCAATAGCGGCGGGATCCTAGAGACTGATAAAGGCTTCATCCGATTGCCAAGTTTCATAGAGTGGCAGGCTTGCGACCTTGACGATGGCGACAACAAATCTCTCTACACGTCCGGTCCATCCCGCATGATTCAGTGCTTCGATGGCGATAAGCCGGTTCTCGCCATCCTTCTCTCGCACGAGCTCGGGACAACAATGAGGGACAGCTGTGCCCGGGGCAGAGACTACTTGCAATTGAAACATCGCGTTGATGCCTAGATACAAAGGATTGTTTGGAGAAGAGAAGAGGCGGAGCGCCTATTGAATAGTCCAGTCCTATCTGATCAGGCACAAGCAGACTATCCGGGTCGCGAAAAGGCCAGGAAGACTCGGGAAGAGTGCGACAGGAGGGCACGCCAGCTGGTGGAGCAGGTTCGCGTAGCTAAAGCTAAATGGCAAAAGCACATGCGCGCAGTAGACTACTTACACGACCACCTCCTGATGGGTTGCGCAAGGCTGCCTAGCTCTGCGGACGAGCCGGAACAAGGCGCAGATGAGGAAGATTTCGGTGACGAGCAAGGCCAAGAGCCTGATGAGGACGAAGGTCCCCCTAACGCCGCTCACAAAGAAATCCCCACACACAGTCGAGCAAGCGAGAGGCTGCAGCAACTTTCACGTAAAGAGGCCTCTAACGAGAATGAGAATAAAACCGTACCGCCTTCGATCTCCATGAAGAGAGACCTCATCGAGAAAGAACGAGCGCTCCGACGCGCCGAAGAGCAGCACAACCAACACCGCTTCACCTATGGTCGCCAATTCTGGGAGCACGTAAAATCGCGAGACTGCGGTGCCGGCGTTGACTTGGCGGAGGAGTTCGGTCCAATCTTCGTTCAACGCGGGCAAGAACTCATACGTGCATTCAAAAATGCTGAAGCAGAGTACGAGGAAGCAGTTGCGCAGGCAGAGGAAGCTGGCGTGCATCCCTCCGAAGAAGAAGAAGAAGAAGAAGCGAAAAGGCAGACGAACATTTATCTGGACAACGAGGAGCTTGCAGCAATGGTGATAGGTAAACAGGAGGACCGCATTCACGCTTGGAGTATGAATCCTGTAACTCTTTCGCGACCACCTTCACCAGTAGCAGATGCGAACAACCTCGATACTGGAAACAGTAAGATCTCCTATGCAGAGATCAATAACCCCGCGCCGTTCAACCAGACCGGTTCGAAGGGCGAAAATCCACCAGCTGTAGGGAACGAGCGAGCGGAGACACCAGTGCTTGATAACAATGGCGCGAGCATGCGCGCTGAAAGAAAGCGCGCCACTAGTGCTTGTTCCGATGCCATCGAGCATACTCCTCCCAGCGCCGTCGATATCTCGACAAAAGGTTCGAATGACGCCTCCATGAAACACAACGCCGAACCTAACTCGGCGGAAAACGTCCCGAAGCCGATTTCTGCTGGACCCATCAGCGGAAGAACACCCATTGGAAAGCATGACGACGCCCCCGACTTAGAAAAGGAGTTTCGTCTTCCTACAGAGAGCGGCAAAATCGAACAGCTTGGGCTTCATCCGCCCCACGTCGAGACACACGACGAGAACGAGAAAGACCGTTCACAAGAGCATGATGTGTCGGCTCCGAGCATTCCTGGAAACCTGGTAGGCGGGCATCCCGAAAAGTGCAGCTCTAGCGAAGAACCTAAACCAAAGAAGCAGCTCCAACCACGACGGCCCATTGATCTGCGCGAAGGCAAGGCCCTATCTACAGGAGTACCTAGCGAGCACGACACCGATGACAAAGCCAAGCGAGATCAGGATGGAACATCAGAACCGAGCAAGGGGCTGGAAGCAGGCATTCCCGATAAAGGCGACGAAGCCAGCGGACATGTAAAGGACCATGTGGACGCGCTGGTGGACCAGCAAAACCCCCGGGATCACACCCTGGATTTGCAAGAATCCGTCACGAATACGAAGAAACGAGAAGGGCAGCCCAGCTCAAGCGATACTACAGCACCAAACGAAGAAAATGCGCTCCCACCAGAAGATCCCAGCAAACGGGCAGACAGCAAGTGCCCCAACGAAGATCATCACGTCGCACAAAACGAGGACGCAGCGCCGCATAGGAGTATAGGATCCCAAGAAGCTCCCATCGACCAAAACGAAGACCCAGGCCTGGGCAAGCCATCGAGTCCGCTTGTCTCCTCACACCACGGAACCACTCCCGATGACGGCGTGGAGTCCTGCCATCTCCCTCCATCCACCTCCGAAAAGCACAACGAAGAACTCTCGCCTGATGATATGGAGTGGGATTCAATAGGCTCCCCACTTAGTAGCTCGCCCCCGGCCCCTGTCATTGGAAAGCGAAAGCGAGATTCTGCTGAGGAAGGACCAGGCTCGTTCGGTGTTTTTGTAAGCAGAAGTGTGGTTGCCGAGGGGAGTAAGAGGAGGATGATCGATGACTGGGCGAGGAAGATGCGTGGGGGGCACTACTGAGGTACCGAAGTCAGGATGGAAGCGAAGGGGTGGTTCGATCTTATGAGTAGTAGTGCTGGAGATGGTGAGGCACTTCTTAGCTGTGGGGGAAACGTTGTTTCACTGGGCGAATCAACGCTCTGAGGTAGGCAAATTGCATACTAAGGCGTCTCTATCGATGACTGACGCTTTTGCAGATTGAAGATGGATACCGCCCCAACATCGCACTCGACTCTAAAGGGAAAGTGTAAACGAACCACCAACTAGCCACCGGCTACGGCCCGTTTACCAGCAGGCCCTGACATACGCGCTTACATGCGAAGGAAGAGAATGCATGAGGCGATGAATCTAGAGCAAAGAACGCCGTCATTTCCTAGATGGCAAGCAGAACGAAGGAGCTGCGTCTGAACAGTCCGTCAGACTTTTTATCAAGGAGAAAAGTTTCGGTCCAAGTAGTAATGCGAGTTTTTAGTATTGTCCAAGAGCACATCCCTTCCAAGTTCCTCCGTTTCACGTTAGCTTGTTCATTGATCGCAGTGCCAGTGCCTTAACGAGCGGAGTGTTCGCGGAATCGGCCTCTCGAGCGGTAATATTATGCCCATTTATACATTATAATTGGAGTTTTTGATTTGCTTCTATCGCGCAGCTGGAATGTCTCCTTTTATGCCAATACCCGTCACATTTCTATCGTTCTGAACACGCCACTCGATCCGCACCGGGGCATGTCGCATTTGTCGTTCAGCCTTTGCGAGATCTCGCTGTCGAGGAGCAAGCTCGAATACCTCGGTCCGTCCGATCCTTGATTCTCATATACTGATACCGTCGTGTCTCCTCGTGCACAAAAGCTGGGCCTGTGTTTTTAGAGTCTACGCGGGCGAAGCTCTCCACGGTTGCCAATTTGCTGGACCTATAATGGGTTCCAATTTCCCTATGCTGGCCTCGGAGTTAAACCCAGATGCCGCGCGGAATTCATCATTTCGAACGTTCGATTAGTTGCTAAACATCCAAACAGGGTATTTTAAACTTACTTTGGTGTCGTTCGGCCTTGTTCGACTGTTCTTTGAAAGCTCCTGCTAGGGAGCGCTGTACCGCGTATGCGTAAGCGCCTGTCGTTGTGGAACGCTCCGATTTCCATGTAGGAACGGCCCTGGGCTTGGCCGTGCCGTGGATCCTTGAGGATACTTTAATCTCCGGCTCGCGTCCTCTTTGTGGGAGATTGAACTAGCTTGGGTTCGCCGTCCTCGTTTGTTATAGTCTGGTCCATTGTGGAGAAGTATCCCTCGTCTCCAATCCATCGCTTCCGTTTTCCGGTGATAGGCTGAGGTTCACCGGGTGGCAGATCTGAGGACAGTGTACGGTCTTCCTGCGGCTCGACGGTTTTTGTAGTCTCTCGTGGCTGTTCTAAGCTCAATTTGAGACTCTCGTTCTTTTGAAGTTCTTGTCGGGGCTTATGCTCGGCTTCAGTATGACTGGGTCTCTCCACTGGCGTATTTGAAGGAAGGTTCCTTTCCTCGGGTGCGGGGCTGGAAGTGATCCCAATATCCTGGTCTCGGGGCTCTTGCAATATAGAATGCCACCTCGTGCTGGGCCCTTCACCGGGAACGGCAGGCCCACGGAAGCTTTCCTCGTGCTCAGCGTTACTAGTCACCGCCTCCTCGTGCAATGAATTCCAATCCCCGTATATATCTATGTCAAATTCCTGATCATGTTGGGCCTTTACTTCTGGTTGAGAATGGCCGAAGTGATCAGTCGCCGGCTTTGCCACGTCGAACTTCGAGTTGGCATTGGCAACATCCCCGTTAGAGGGGGATCCTGAAATAGCGGCCCAGTCATCGTCCGTGAAAACGTTGAGCCCGGAGGAGTGAGTAGGTTCGGGGTTTCTGTTGACCTTAGAGTATTTGGGTTGTATTGCTGCATTGCTCGGAGCGGGATCAGTGACTGGATTGGGTGCCCTGAGAGCGGGTTCATCCTGCATCTTCCCGCGATCCTCGGCATCCGAGCCCTGGTTGTCGAACTCGTCAGCACTGGAGTCCTCGCATGGTTCGGAAGGTGGCAACGTCGGGCATGTGCGAACGGGCTCCCTCGAATCAACATCCTTCATCCACATTTGGATCAAGTCGTTCGACTGAACCTTGCTCGTTGGCACGGCATTATCACATCCTACCAGACTGCTAAGGTATTCAATGTCGAGGTCACCGGTAATGAAAGTGATGCCGGCTGCTCGTGCATTCTCCTTCGCAATCTCATATGCTTCTTCCGCGTCCCGGAAACGTTTGATGATCTCCTGGCCGCGTAGGACATGGATAGGGCCAAATTCGGTCTCAAAGTCGGCGTCTTCACGGTGGCCACGCTGTTCGGAAATATAGCGTTCAAGATCCTTGCAGTAGCTTACGCGATGATTTTCGTAAGCCTTGCAGGCGGAGACGGCGGCCCCTCTCGTTTCGAAGAACATGGCCCATAGTTTGTCTCGTTTGGCCTCGTCGGGTAGTTCGGCGAGGTGAGTATCCCTCCTGGTGTTCGTTGGACTTGTGGTTCGAGCAAATGCGGTCTCCGGTTGCGGTGCAACATATGTAGCGGGATGATCTGACTGGCGTTCTTCGGGTTGGTGGGTGTCGATTGGCGTGCAATTCTGCACTTGCTGCTCAGATGGCTGTTCTTCTTGTTCTGTTATAGGCATGGCCGCACCTCCTGCGGTGGGGCACTGTTCGCCGTCTTCCTCCTCAACTTCGATTCCAAAGTCTGGAAGGAGACCGCATTCGACGAGAACGTCTTCATGGATAACCGAGATCGAACTCATATACTTGCTCCATTCATCTTCCGCCCGCTTTACCTGCGACCTAATATCGCCTTCTGCCCAGCTTAACATTTCCAGTTGCCGTAATGCTTTGTTGTGTACCTTTCGTAACCGATCAAACCGCATTCGCGATTCAGTACGGTCGATCTTGCCCTCAGCTACGTGTGCATCCAACTGCTGGATCTGCTTTATTGCGTCGGAATAGCTGGCCACAGCGGCATTTTTCTTCGTTTGGATCTTTTCCGTCGCCCCTTTTGCCTGATTTTCAAGAGAGAAATGTCTTCGAGAGAGTTCAACGCATGTCTTGTACCACTGACCCAACGTGTGAGACAGGAGCAAGGCCAGAACTGGCTTCGACCCATCGAAGCATTGGATCATCCTGGCTTCACCGTTGGTGTAGAGTTCTTTGTTTTCACATGTTTCCCCGTGAGCATGAAATGCTTTGAATCCGGGTGGGCCTTTAGGCTGGAGTGAACCGGCGCTGCTGGGAGTGGTCCCAACCCAGTCTCTATAGATCCGCATCAACGATTCGGTTACGGCGCCGGCGTCGTGAGAGTCCTGAGGTTGGTCAGGCGACATGTTTGATGCTTTTACGTATCCATATTTGTCTAGGCAGGCTTGGACTAAGTTGGAAAGCCCGTCGGCGGTACTAGTGCGTGTCGCTCCGTCGAGGTCATGCGGGCTCGTGTGGTTGCCATTGGATGAGAGTGTGGGTTTCGAGTCGGGAGAATGCTCCTCGCGAAAGACTTTGCCTTCATTGGGGCGATGTCGAACCGATATTTCCTCTGCCTGCGGCCCGTAATCATCGGCAGCTTCCACCCTTTTGGCAATATGTGTCGCCGTGTTCGGCGAACTTCCTCCTGTAGCCTTAGTGGTGCATCTCTTTCCCTCTTTCTCTAGGGCAATATGTCCATCGACGAATCTCGGAGAGACAGAGTGTGACTGAGCGGTAGTGACAGAACCTGAGAGGGCAACAGAAGTTCTCTCTATGCCTTGCTCTCTCGCCCAAGAAGCGGAGTTTAGAGCACCCTGCGCGGGCTCCCGGTTGGGCTGGTGTGTGGGATGTGATGGGGAGGAAGAATCAGTGTCCGGTTCGGTGCGAGCAGTTTTAACCCGTTTAGGCGGTCGAAGGCCTTCTTCGTCACGTGTGGCATCATTCGCAGATTCGACACGTTCGCGCTTCAATGATGCATTGGCAGCCATATTTGGTAGACTCTGCTAAGTGTCGAGAATTTTTGATTCCCGATTTGGCAGCAGTTAGGGCGGTAGAGTCGCAATTAGTATAGCTCGAGAGTTGATTAGTGTTGCGAATCAATTAGCCAGAGGAGGAAGGAGATACAGGTCGCAGACTCACTTCGGGTTGTGGCTGTGCGAGAGCAATGTGGGCAGACTTTCACCATGACATTCGCATTTGACATAGCAGAGAGCGGCTTTGGAGAATCAAGTTAGCACCCTAGCCCGGTGAAACATGCTTACACTCTTGAGATATATTTTTCCGCCGGACAGCCCCACCACGGGGCCTGACGCTGTACCTCCAAACCAGCCACTGCTACTTTTCAATATCAACACTCCACTTCGTCGCAGCCTGTAAACCGAGTACACCAGCCCGTCCGCAGTGCCTACGTCTACCGACCCCCCGCCGGGAAAGGCAAAACGAGCGATCATCAACCAAATCAACAATGTCACGCGGCACGCGAGTGCGGAGGACAGCGGGTCAGCATTCGCTAGGCGTTAGGCCATCGGTCAATTACTACGATGGCCAGGCGGTGGGACATGAAGCACTCTATGACACTGGCGAAGCCGAGAACGGCATGGGTGAGCATGACCAGCATTACCCTGAGCAGTGGGACGATGGACACCCAACGAATAGTTCTGCCAAAATTTTGGACGAGGTTATCCACACCGTACCAATAACGTACAAGATGGTACAGCGCGCAGAACCTGCAACTCATCGAGAGTTCGAAGACCTGCGGCCAGCAATGATCGTCTACCATGCCGAGCTGGAACAGACAATGAACAGCAACGCAGTCTGGCATCCGGGTGTCGAGCACGTGTATCCCACACCAGCGGGTCTCTTTTCGGTGAAGCTGGAGACCCCTTGGATCATCGATGAGCTACATCCCGAGATATCCGCGATCACATGCCGTAGAGTGACGACGCACGATATCGAGGCCTACACACCGAAGCGAAAGGCAGAACACTTGCAATTGGTCCAGCCAAACCAGCACCCGATTAATCATACACCACACGAACTCTTGCAGATCAAGACATGTTACCACAGGAAACCAAAGAGCGGTGCCATCGACATGGCAAATAAGAAAACCTTCAGGGTTCCTAAGGGGATCAAGCTGTACGGCGAACTTGAGCCAGAGTTATCCTTCTATTACCTGGATTGCATAAAAAAATTCGACACGAGCAAGAACCAGGCCTCCAGGCTTCAATTGCAGGAGATGTTTCCCCGATTTATCGACAGTGGTCTCGGGGCTTCTCTCTCTCGAGGCACCCCAATGGTATCAATCGCAACCACGCGGATGGCGAGAAAGAGCTGGTGCTAGAAGTTACAACCAATGGAAAATACCACACCGGACGGATAGCCTTTACTGAACAACCTGCGAGCACTCGCAACGGGGCTACTTGCAACGATGCCGTCGCGGGCCGGCAAGCAGCACAACCGCGAAGCCGTCGCAGAGGATTCACTCGCTAATAAGAGGCCAGTAAATAGCGATTACAGCTCCGTTCATGTAAAGGAGAAGATTGGAGTAGCTTCGCTCCCCGAGACCGCAGTCCGTCTAAAGCCTGCTGAACACTGTTCTACAGCAGCACCAAGAAACATGCAGCAGTCTACAACAATCGAACCTATCCACGGATGCATGGCAACGCTTTCTCGGGAGGAGACCGACTGGGAACATCTTATCTGCGACCTCGACAACAAGATTGGAGACCTTGAGATTGATCGGATGTGTCCAAAGTGTGACTTAGAGATTGCTCAAAAGCACTACAACGAAGACTTGCAGAAATACCCTGCGCCCAGAAAGGAATCCCAGCAGAGAGACCTTGACCCATACGTGAGAGAGATAGAGACAGCAAAGCAAGAGATTTGCCTGATAGATCAAGCCCTTGACAAACTAAGGATCTCACACGAGGACGCGTCTCAGAAGCTTCAAGAACAGCAACTGGCCAGGAAAGCCCGCCTCGCTCTCTGTCGCTCCAGAAGTTTGGCCCCGCCCGTAGTGTATGTAATTAACAACAGCTACTCCAGAGGTCACTTCGCTAATGCAGCCCCAGCACTCCTGCCCGATGCTTCATGGCCGGGAGCCCTCAGCTCTAACCTAGCCTCCATATGCTAATCACACCCACAGGCCTATTGTAGGCATTCCTATCCGGATTCCGGCGTAGTACTACTGCTGACGGGTTCCACAGGAGTGCCTGATGCCGGCTTCCCGACATACACTGCTCCTGCATTGTTCTGGCAAATAACAGCATCACACCGACTTCCCCTTGCTTTGAGCTGGACCCTAACAGTCCCCTACTTACCTTTCTCAGGGCTTTGCAGTTTGGCAGCATTGGCTAAGGTCTGGGTCGATTTTTCAGTCCTCTATAGGGTCATCAAACAATGGGTTCTGCACGATGACACGGTGATTTCCCCCTGGCCGTTGAGCATGCCTATTCAACAGCCGAGTAGCAAACAATATATGCTTATTAACCACTCCCTTCCTTTCTAACACTGAGTAGTAGTACAGAATAATGTAATACCTCTAGTCTTCCACGTAGCTGCTCGCGGAGACGTACTCTGGATCCAGCGAATGGGAGACCAACTTCTCCCCGTCTGCGTTCTTATTTCTCGCAGACCCAGTGCGCTCGTTTATATCCAGTTTTTCGTTGAGGACAGCGTGCTCGTCACCGCCACCCCCCCGTGTCACCATTGGATTCGGAATAGACTACTACGCGATGCCAAGCCCAAATGGAGCGATAATCCGGCCATTAAAGTCGCTTGCTCTCATCGTCGCTCGGGTCGTCGTCGAAGTCGAATGGGTCTAACGCGTCCAGGAGGTCTAAGTGCTTGATTGACTGCCACGCATGGTGATGCTTCTGGTACTTCTGAGGCTGAAGAACTGTGGTTTCACGCTTTTCGATCTCAGGAACATCTGTGTGATCGAGGAAGCTGCTAAGCTCCGCAGTCACACGGGCGGTGATCGAAGAACGTAGGTCAACTGGCGTCTCCTCGTTCAAATCGTCCATAAATTTGGGGACTGCGGGATCGGCGTCTTGGGCTTGGTAATGTGGTAATGTAGTTCGTGGACCAAGAGACGCCGCCGAGGCTACGCTATCATGCCATCGGTGATTGCATTTGCTGCCGCTTGCCTCAGAATTCACGTCTTCACCCGAACCCTCCGCATCCGGCCCCTTTATTGCAAGCCGGCATTGGGATGCAGCAATGTTGTTACCCCCAGGCCCCTCGCTTACGGAATTAAAGAGACTTATATCCTCACCGCTATCCCAGCCATCCGTCTCTGAAGATACCAACGTGTAACAAGGGCTCCCAGGCACCATCCGTGGCACTTCTCCAAGCCATTTTCGGACGCGCTCAGGTCCCTCACCGCCGATATCTCGGCAGAAATGTAGCAATCTGCCCTCTCTTCGCCACCGTAGGTACCGTCCTCAATCAGCTCGCTATCGCTACCGGAATCCTGGATAAGCATGCCCGCGTCCCGTGCGCGAGCCTTCGCATCCTCCATCGCATGCTCAGCTTGCTGCAATCTTTCGACGATTTCCCGGCCCTTCAGGAGATATGCGGCCCGGGCGAAGCAAGCCGAGCTTGCACGTCAGATGCGCATTTCACCCGCTTAGTAGGGGTCACAGCCTCGCTACCTAGGACCCGGTTCAGGGAGCGGCTTGCACATTCTTGATCATCTTCGACAGCATCAGATCGGCGGCGCTTCGGAGACTGGCGACATGCTGTGGATGGCTCCTTCGCCGCGTTTGAGCTTTCGGCCACTGGTAGAGAGCAGGGAGATTAGGAGGCTTCCATTCTGGACCGCGGCCAAGGGCACGATGTTGGATGGTGAACCGACGCTCCGGTAAAGTTTCTCTCTCTTGCACAGGGGAAGAGCAGATCAAGTCGGCGATATCATTCATTCATTCATACGTAGAACTTAACAAAATCATGCGTAGGTATCTTCCCTTCCTTCCCTCCTCTCCTTTCCTCCATAACCCAACCCACCGTCCCCCCACCTCCTTACACCCTTCCCGTCCCACCTCTCTCCAAACGCACGCCTACAACAGCGCCCAAGCAACCATCCCCGCAAGCACTCCGCCTCCCAAACCCGGCATCATCGCCACCGCGGCCCCCGTACTCTCGCTCGGCCCCGCAGAACCCGTGGGGGTGGGCGCCGAATCCGCATTCTGGACCGGCCCGCCCGCGACGCCCGTGCCGTTCTTGCACTCGTCGTCGCTGAGCAGCGCGGCCGAGGCGTTGAACGTGATATCCGCGCACTATACACCCGATACGTCAGCACACTGCAATGCCATCCAAGCCATCCAACCACACCTCCCCTTCCCCTCCCCTCCCATCTCACAAACAAACTCGCACTCAACTCACATTATAAAGACTCGCGCCGGAATGACTAATCTGAATAACCTGGACACTAGCCTGCATCCCGTCCAAGCTCTCAACGCTAATATTACTCTCTCTCAGCCCCTCCTCGAGCGCCGCGCGCCCCGTCTCCTTCAAGCACAGCACGCCCTTGCCCGTCTGGTTGAAGTTATCCACGAGGCTGATGTTGAAGTTGGTCACGTTGGTGCTGAGGCCGAGGTTCACGTAGGTCAGGGCCCAGGGGTGCGAGCCGTTGATGACGAGGCTGCCGCCGGTGAGCGGCCATTGCGTGCGGTTGGCGATGTCGGTGGTTTCGGAGACGTTGGCGCCTGTGGGGTGGGGGGTTAGGAGTGGGTGCATGGAAGGATGGAAGGGAGGGGGAAGGGTGCGTACAAGGCCATAGCCATTGCGAGGCGCCGTCGGCGAAGGAGTCGCCGCGCCAGGTGGGCTCGAGCAGTCTGAAGTGGGCGGCGGCGAGGCCGAGGAAGGGGAGGAGGGCGATGGTGGAGAGCATTGTTGCTGTGTTGAGGGCCAATTGCACGCGTTCAGTCTTTTAATCGAAGGTTGTTACGAGTAGAGGGTTGGATTGTGCGATTGGAAAGGATGCGCAAAGTACCCGGCTGCAGGAAGCTTCTTGCGGGCACCCCACAGCGCTTTATAGCTCTTTCCGCGGGCCTGAATAGCCCAACCTTGGAAGGCGTCTGCTCCAGCAATATAGCTGCCGAAATTCCGTCACAGTAGCACCGCTAGGACAAGAACTCGCTTGTAATACCCTTCCCAGGGCCGCGGATGTGGTCGTGCAGCTGCAAGCAAGCAGTCTCGATGTCCCATAGCTCCACCGGCACCAATCAAACTAATTGTGGCGTGAGCTACCCCGGCTGCGGGCCCTGCATGTGTAGAGCCATCGCAAAGACGGAAGGACTTTTGTTGCTCAAATGTGCTCACTTCGCTTGGCGCCGAGAGTGGGATGCAGGAGCGGACAAAGGCGGGGTGGAGGAAGGGAATTTGCAGATATTGAAGAAACACAGAGACATCGAAAGGAACGCAAAAGTGCTTGCATCGTAGCTTGAATTTGAGAAGGTAAGCAAGAGCAACGATGATCATGCCTGGAAAGTAATGTGACATGAGCGAGAACCCAACGCCAAGAAATGCGGGCGCTATTCCCAATCTGTCGACCTCCGTTAACGCCAGTGGATATCATACTCAGAACATGCTGCTCTGCTTCTTCCTCAAAGTGCTCGTGTTCGACTCACTCGAGCTCCGCAGTCCCCAGAAGCTCTTCTTCTTCATCTTCTGCTGCTGCTGAGCGCTGGGCCTGGGTAAGCCGTTGCTGAAGAAGGAACTCTGCGATGCTGCAGGTTGAGGGCCTGGTGGCTGCAGGTACGGACCCTGGGGACGAGGCGGCTGCGCGGGGGCGGGGCCGTGAGAAGGCCGCTGCCACGGGCCCTGAAGAAGCGGCGCGGAGTGCCTTTGCTGTGGCTGTGCTGGCGGGACGAGATTACTCTGATCTCCAAATTGTCTCCGCAGGCGTTCGGTCTCCTTGTCTACCTCAGCTTTTCGCCTTCTCCGTTCCTTCTCTTCCTGTTTTCGCCTTCTTTCCTCGTTCTCGAGGAACTGTCGCGTCTTCCTCTCCTCCTCCTCTTCTTGTTTCCGTCTCGCTCTGCGGTTGATTTCCTCCTGCCGCCGTTGCTCCCGCGCTTCGGCTTCAACCTGAGCCTTTAGTCGGGCAGTCTCGGCGTCAATCTCCCATTGCGATCGGGGATCCAGTGGCCGTGCGGGCTGGCTCCCTGTCTGGAGCGGTGGAAGGGATGAGCGTTTGTAGGCATTCTGCGACGGGTGATTGTACAAGCCGTTCAATGCAGCGCCTTTAGCCGGCTGCAATGGCTGGTGTGCAGGGCGTTGGGGTGGATGAGGGGGTTGAGGAGTCATGACGGGTGGTGTGATGCTGGCTGGTTCGAGCGGTGATGATCCCTTCCGGCCTCGTACCCCTCCGCTGTTCTTCCGCGAGTTCGGATCGATGATGTGATAGGATTCCCTCGGATTGCTGTAGAACAGATCCCTGATGACTGCTGCGCCGAGTAACAAGACGACCTCCAGCCCCTTGTAGTCCTCCATCTCTACCCGGTAGAGGTTGGACTCCATAATGGTCATCTCCTTCAGGCCGGAGAAGAGGGCAACGGCGATGTCCGGCTCCTTGCTCTTCTTCGCCTTCTTTCCCGTCGGGTCGGTAGACTTGCCGGTGAGATAGCATGTCATGTCCTTGCCGAGCCTGCCCTCCTTCCTCCACACAAAGTTTATCTGGGGAGTCGCAGCGTCCGCGCCTGGGTCGTTCTGGCTTCGGTCGAGACTTGACGAGCTCGGTGTCCTGAATGAGGTCTGCGGCATGCTAAACTCGTACGTCACAGTGCCGCTCCACTTGGACGTCTGCTGCTTTATGACAATCTGCTGGTCCGGGTTGTACAGCTGGATGGCGAACTCGGTGGGGAAGATGGGCTGCGGCAGGGGCGGGATCCCTCCGTTCTTGCGGATCTCTTCCTGCGAGAGCGAGGGCTGCGACCACCCAGGCCTCGACAGCACCTCGCCATAGAGGATCTCCGGGTTGTGCGAGTCGAAGAGGGCTACGGCGTACGTGTTCTTCGCGCCGTTGGACGCGGGGTCGGCGTGGGTGAGGGCGTAGGCTGCGTCGGGCTCGGAGCCATTCTGCGTGAAGAGGTAGGATTCGTGGTGCTTGATCTTGTCTGTGGCGGGCTTGAGAAAGAATGCTGCGGGTCGTCAGTGGTGGGAACATGTTCGCAGCAGGCAAGGCTGGGCGGCTTACTGGGGAGCGCCTCGTCTAACATGGCGTCATAGTCTGGTCGGGGCGTGTTTGCTTGAGAAGAAAGTGTGTATGCAGACAAGAGGCGCGGGGTGTAATGAGTGTATGCACACAGTATATGTGAGAGAGCGGGCGCTTTCACTGCAAACACGCGTTTCGAGGCGCTGGTGGGTGGCTGTGGGTGAGCTCCCGGCCGCACGGTCCACCAATGACGAGCCGCTGCAGGAACGATCCCCGCTAACCGAAGCGAGCATGGCTATTCTTGGAACATTCACCCCCAACCATCCGCCATTCACTCCCCTCCACTCATCCACAGTTCTCGGGTCCGACTGTCCATGAAACACGGGCGGAAAATCCCCGACTCCTAGGCCAAGTGCTGCTGCCGTCGGGGATAAGAAAGCTTGCGCAAGCCGGCCGCGCGAGTCTCACGATTTGCACAGCCTCCGGGGCATCCCAGCAGTTCGCATTCTCGCTGCGCACACTCTGAAGGAGGTTCGCAGAGTGCCTCGTCTTCAGTCTTTCAGTCAGGCGTTTTCCATGTCCCTCTCAATTTCCATCTCCCTTACTTGTGCTACGACCGTGGCGTCTTTAACGCCCTCAACTCCACATAGACCTCGTATTACGCGTCTTCACACCATCACGATTTCGCAAGCAGCACCAACTTCGGTGAACAGCCTAACTTCTATCACGAATAGAAGCAGGCGCGTAGTTCCTTTATTCCCGTCTTGTAACTCCGCAAATTCTAGCCTTCTTCCTTCCCATCTTTAAATCCGGTAAATCCGTCATTTCACAGTGACAGTTCGGATGGAAGAATTAAATACAAAGCTTTGCCGCTAAAATGCAAGAGCAATACAGGCCACAGCAACCATATCCCAGCCAAGAACCCCCCAGTACCATTCTTTTCCACCCTCCGCAAAATGGCCGACCCCGTCACACTCACAGCCCTCAGTCCCCGCAAAGCCGTCGCCGACGCTCTCCACCGCTGCATGCTCGGCATCGACAGCAACAACCGGGCCCTGTTCGAGTCAAGCTGCCTGAAGAACGAAAGCATGACCGTTGTCGCCGGCCCCATGACCTTCGAGGGCTGGCCCGCCATCAGTGACTTCTTTTTCAGGCTCTTCGACCTCGTCACCACGCATATCACCAGCAATATCCGCGTTGAGCTGAAGGACGGCGCGGACACGGCGTCCATGAGCGCCCACGTGCTAGCGTATCATGTGCGGCCGGACGATGCGTTCACGCCCGAGGATACGTCGTACACGGGGGCGTGCTTGTACTGGATAGATCTTGTCAAGGATTGCGGCGACGGCTTGTGGAGGATTAAGAAGTGGGAGATTAAGATTCTGTGGAGTACGGGGGATAGAGCGGTTCTCCATGGATGAACTTGCAGACGTTACCATTTGAGATTATGATCGTTACACGTAGAGAATTGACGAAACGAAAATATGGTTGTTGGAATAACAATGCAAGACAGGCGAAAGAAGAGGGCGATGTAAGCTAATAAATAGAAGCGCCGTTACGTCGCCGCCTGCAACAGCCGCGCAACATCGCGCCCATACAGTGTGGCCCACGATAGCGGTGTCCGTCCTTCCCAGTCTGTTACCTGGATATCAGCGCCTTTCTCAAGGAGCAACTGCACGATAGCCTTATGTCCACTCTTTGCGGCCAGTAATAGTGGCGTATCTCCACTATCAATATCAGCCCTCTGGATATTAGCGCCGTTCTCAAGGAGAAGCCGCACGATGGCCACGTGCCCTCTCTCCGCGGCCTGCGATAGCGGCGTCGGATAGGATATATCCCCGTCAACGTCGGCGCCGTTCTCAAGAAGAATCCGCACGATAGCCTCATGCCCTTCCCGCGCGACCCGCGATAGTCCCGCCCGCGCGATGTCGGCGCCGTTCTGAAGAAGAAGCCGCACGGTGGCCTCGTACCCGTTCAGCGCGGCGATCTCTAGCGGCGTCCATAGTCCTCTGGCCTCGGTGTCGGCGCCGTTCTCAAGGAGAAGCTGCACAACGGCCCCGTGCCCGTTCTGCGCAGCCGCGTAGAGCGCCATCTGTCCTCCTCTACTCGCGTAGACGCCGGCGCCGTTCTCAAGAAGCAGCCGCACGATAGCCTCATGCCCTTTCGACGCGACCCTCGCCAGTTCTACCCGCGCGATGTCGGCGCCGTTCTTAAGGAGAAGCCGCACGACAGCCTCGTGCCCGTTCCGCGCAGCAATCCCTAGCGGCGTCCATGGTCCTCCGGTATCGGCGCCGTTCTCAAGGAGAAGCCGCACGGTGGCCTCGTGCCCGTTCTCCGCAGCCGCGTAAAGCGCCATCCGTCCTCCTCTACTCACGTGGACGTCGGCGCCGTTCTCAAGGAGAAGCCGCACGGTGGCCTCGTGCCCGTTCTGCGCAGCCGCGTAAAGCGCCCTCCGTCCTCCTCTACTCGCGTGGACGTCGGCGCCGTTCTCAAGGAGAAGCCGCACGGTGGCCTCGTGCCCGTTCTCCGCAGCCCACGATAGCGGCGCTCGTACTCCCCTACGTATCTCCCGGGCGTCAGCGCCGTTCTTGAGGAGTAGCCGCGCGACAGCTTCGTGTCCGTTCTCTGCAGCCCACGATAACGGTGTCCGTCCTTCCACATCCGTCATCTGAGTGTTGACGCCATTCTTGAGGAGGAGCTGCACGATAGCCTTGTGCCCGTTCCGCGCAGCCCACGACAACGGTGTCCAATCCCTCTCTAAGGTGTTGGCGCTATTAACGAGGAGCTGTACAACAGCCTCATGCCCGTTCCGCGCAGCCCACGACAACGGTGTCCGTCCTTCCCAATCCCCCTCGATGGTGTTGGCGCCATTTTTAAGGAGGAGCTGCACGACAGCCTCGTGCCCGTTCCGCGCGGCCCACGACAACGGTGTCCGTCCAGCGTCGTCCTTCGAGTCGGCTTCAAGCTTGTGGAAACCCAAAACCAGCTTAAGTATCGCCTCATGCCCTCCCGCTGCAGCCAAGTGCAATACCGATAAACCCTTCTCCGACTGCACAGTGACGTCGGCTCCGTTCCCGAGCAAATACTCGGCTAACTGCAAGCTTCCCATGTCCACCGCCGACAGTAAGTTAACACATTCTGTTGAACTCCTTTGCTCTTCTAATGATTGCTTGTAGGCAACCTGAACCTCATCCAGCATAACTCGTCCCTTGATGTTTTGCATGGCGTGCGCCTTGCGCATATGCTTCTGCAGGTCGTCTTTCCGAGCTGCTCCTAGGAAACGGCAACCAGGTACTTTGCAGGGAAATCTTGGACGAGTATATGTGTGTATGCGTTTATGCCGGTAAACATCGCGACTTCGTTTAAATTGTTTACCGCAGACACTGCATTGATTTGCGAGGGGTGGTGGCTCTGGTCGAGGAACGTCCATCCTGTGGAAGCGTGGCAGTTCCTAAACTGATAGGTGTTTCTAATAGAGAATGAAGAGATGTGTCTGTGTTTGGGAGGGCTGCATGTAGGACGGGCACAGCGCGAGAGGATAATCGTGTTGATTTGAGCGCCCATGGGTTAGCGCTCCCTGTTCGTGGGCGCTCCTTATTGGTGGGCGCTCCCGATCGTGGGCCCCCCCGGTCGTGGGCGCTCCCTGGTCGTGGGCGCTCCCTGCTCGGTGGGGTCTTTTATTATCACTTGGACTTTCTTCCCTTCAATGGATTTCAACCTTCCAATTATTCATCAGAGTAGCCATACCATATTTCAAACTCTTGCGCTTTATCCTACCGTCCATTCAGTTCTATCGAGCCCTTTCATCTACGGTCTATACCATGTCGAACTATACCGACAACCGCTCTAACGATGTTGATGAGGTCACGTGAGTTTTTTTTTTTACGCTAATGCAATCGCGCCGCCAGCAGAGGCCAACGTAGGGTCTGCATCTGCAACACGCTAGACTGCCCAGCAATGATCGGAGATCCACTTCAACATCACCTTGAAGCCCTAGACCTACCCGGCCAACCCTACGATCCCGCTCGAGATAAGTTCCCCGGCCAAGACGACGATCACGTTCAAGATAAGGTCCCCGTTCAAGTCGACGATCCTGTTCAAGATGGGGTTCCCCGCCAAGACGACGATCTCGCTCAAGATGAGGTTCCCGTTCAAGTCGACGATCCAGTTCAAGTCGACGATCCTGCTCAAGCCGTGCAAGTCGAAGGAGCGCGTCGTTACCCCTGCGACTTCCCTGGCTGTGGAGCATCGTTTGGTCGCGCCCGTGACCTTCCGCGTCATAAGAAAATCCACGACGAATCACTAAAGATTACGTGTCCGGAATGCGACCGGACGTATCACCGGGAGGATTTGCTCGCTCGACACCGGCGCAATAAGCATGCACATCAATCCTAGATGTACAGCTTGTTTAGCTCGAGCGACGAAGCAACAATGAGTCGTGGACGCAATAGGTTGGGCAGGGCTAGGGTGTTTTCTCGAAATCTTCTCCGGGGGCGAGTGGGCTACGAGGCGCGGAAATGAGAGCGATAGAACGATATCCGGAGCAAAAGGATCCAATCCTTCTGCTCTTTCAGTTATAACGCCTTACATATCCGGTAACAAACGAATACAGGCATTTTACTCTAGAGCTTCTGCTCTGTACCGTCATAATAAATGTGATTTAACTATTGCCAGAGCCAGCCTGCGCAGCACGAAGAGAGGACTCCCTGATAGCGTAACCGCGATAAGCAATCCTACTACCTTACGCTAAATGTTACAGACTGCAAGCTACCTAGGCATTATACTCATAGCACAGGTGATTCCCTAGCACATATGAATGAACGTTAGACGTTATCGCATTTCTAAAGAGCCCAACCGACATCGGGAAGGAGAGCAGTTCGCCCTCCGGCAAAGGCTGCACAAGAAGCTGGCCGTCGAGTACGGTCAACAGATGCAGTCCAGCTGCCGCGTGTGCACCACTTTCCGCCCAATCATCGTGTACCAGTGTAATGGCCGTGCCCGCTTTGGCCGCCTACAGAGCCATAGATACGCGTGGATGCGGTTTAGGCGTACAAGGTCCAGGTCGTCCTCGACGAACGCTCGGATATCGTCTACGACGAGGGTTTTGCGAGCTGGACGCCCGAAGATTAGGAGGGAGCCGAGAGCGGTCAAGAGCTCTATATCTTGCGCAGTTGGATGTTCGTGCGTGTCGCTCTTGTTGTTGTTGGGAGGCGAGCCGCGGGAAGAGGCTGTAGGCGGGTTTGGAGGAATGGATCGCGGGTTGAAAGGTGGCTTGAGAGGAGCTTCGCCTGTCTCAATACTTGTCAGTTGTGAAGATTATTGTGATAGATAGCAAGTAGACTGATTGATCGATTGAAACTACTCGGTCTGGCAGACTAGGCAAACAACCGACGCGTCCCGGAATTTTTGATCCGCTCAGCCCCACCCACTTCATCACTGGAGCCAACGACCTCTAAGTCGTTACCCACCACGAAAAGTAGGTTCAAGAACTACACCGTAAAGACCAAGGTTGCGCGGATGAGCGAAGCGCAGGTTGAACCATGGAAAGCTCCAGTGGCGCGGATGTGGTAGCGGAAGATGTGGGATTATTGCGTCTTCCTCGTCCTTTCCCTGGAATGATCGTATAGACAGCAGCAGGCTGCCTTTTGGCGTCGCTCGAATTGCTGCGCTTGCCATACGTCGTTCGATAGGCCGTGCTCGCTGCCGTCCCTATCGTATGGAGCTCGTCGCTGTGCTCGCTACTGGCTCCCGCCCACCATCGTGCTGGCTGACGCTCTCCGTTCCCGGCTCGCTGTTATGGAGCATTGCCGCCGTTATCGTGCCCGCGGTCACTGTGCGCACCATCATTATGCCGCGTGGTGGCCGTGCCTACCGTCTTCATACGTCGGCTTCGCGCCTGTTGTGTCTGCCCGTCCCCGTTCCGCCCGTCCCCGTTCTGCCCGTCCTAAGCGTGCTTCGCCGTGAATGCATGAGGTTATTCGTCCCAAGCATAAAAGTCGGTGCTATCGTTCGAGGAAAATTTGTCTCGAAGGGTGCTGTTCATTCGAGTGGAATTAGCTAAATCCTTGCTTAGAGATTTTAAGACTCACAATTGGCCAGTGGTACCACGGTGGTCTTGATAGTTGCCGCTTGCCGGCACGCAGAGTGCCTAGTCCGAGCGTGCAAAGGTGCATAGTGCATGTTTAATAGCCATACTGTGTAATGTTGAGCGTAACGTCCATCCATGGAGCCTATCATTCTGCGGTGCTCACGGCGAGGCTGCCTTCTTACCCCGCTGCATCAGCCTTGTTATTTGCTTGGTTTTTGCTTCTCGTGACCTTGTTATCGTGCTTCCCGATAGGAAGAGAGAAATAATTGGATCGTAAAAATAGCATCTCCACTTCGTACTACCACACTTTCGAGAGTGAAACGGCGATTTGCTCATATGGCTAGTATTGAGTAACCATCGAGCCGGCGTCAACAAACTTGTGTCCAACTTCTACTTCCTATCTTTTAAATCTTATGACCAGAGACTCATTTCCTGAATTACATTTTGGACTACAGAGCGAGAGTTACAACACACGTCGACATGCAGAGCATGAGCAGCAGCTCAATGTATGCCTTACGAGATGTGCCAGGGAAGGGCAAAGGCCTCGTCGCGATCGAAAACATCCCCAAAGGCACGCGAATTCTTTCTGAGCAGCCAGTCATCACGACGCCCGAACGCCAACGGGACGACGAGTGGCTAAAGACGCACATATCCCAGCAAGTCGATTCCCTCAGTGAACACCAACGGCAATCGTTCCTCTCCATGCACAACCTCTATCCATACCAGAATGTCGCCGAGCAATCTCTCGGCATCATTCGAACGAACGGCCTCCCCATCGAAGCCGACGGCATCGGAGGCGGAGTCTTCCTTGAAGCCTGCCGCATCAACCACTCCTGCGACAACAATGCCCAGAAACACTGGAGCCAGTCCATCAAGCGACACACTGTCCATGCCTTGAGAGACATTCCCAAGGGCGAGGAGATCACAGTATACTACCTGGGCCTCGATAGCAGCCGCGCAGTCCGCCAGAAGAAACTCCAGGACAAGTTTGGATTCCTATGTTCCTGCCGCCTGTGCTCCTTACCAGCAGAACAGAGCGAGGAGAGTGATAAGAGGTTGGAGAGAATCGACCAGCTGGATGATCTCGTTGGCAGCGACGGCATGCGGATGAACTTCTCACTACGGACCCTTCGCTATGTTGACGAACGCGTCCGTCTCTACAATGAACAAGGACCAGGCGACGCTGGTCTGCCGCGCGCGTACCTCGATGCCGCTCAAATCGCTATCGCCAACGGTGACTTGGCACGAGGACGCATCTTTGCGGAGAGGGCGGTGGAAGGATGGCGGACGACCCATGGCAGCGACAGCAAAGAGGTGATCGAGCACGGTCCCCTGGCACGAAACCCCGCTACACTCCCACTATACGGACTTTCCAAGAAGTGGAAGACATCATCGGACGAAGTTCCGCAGGGACTCGACCCGAACGACTTCGAAGACTGGCTCTGGAGGAGAGACAAGCCAAAGAAGCTTGAACAATCGGGACAGTTGGCAGATCTTCGCAACTACGAGAGCTTTCCTGGCTTCGCTGCTCTCCCGAGTAGCAACGGTGTTGATTTGGACTTCTATGAGAAAGTCGATGGGACCTTCCGACCGCGACGCCCCTGGTGCTTCCTGGGCGAAATTGTCGACTCCATCACGCTTCATCATCTAGAGTTGTCGCTCACGGATGTCGACGGTAAGACAATCCCGCTGCACTTCTACACTGATAGCCGAGGCCGCGAATTGGCGCCTGCGCAGATTCAAAAGGGGTATACGGTTGCGGTTCCGTATGCACAACGTCGGGTATTTTTGTATGGAAATCCTGGTATCCGTCACGAAGATCCCAAGATGCTCAAGGTACGCACTGCCCGTCCCTGCAATCAAGCTTCGTTAGGTTTTACTAACGTAACTCGACGTCACGAAGATCTTCCCAACGTCACTGAAGAAGTTGCTGGCGTTGAACGACCAGGTCCAACAGTTTTCGACGAAGGTTGACGGACTCAGAACGTGCCATGGGTGTGGCAAGAAGGCAGCCTCCTTGAACCGATGCGGGAAGTGCTCGTTGTTCTGGTATTGTGATAGTGTAAGACCGCACTCGATACGCCTCGTAATTTTGAGGAAATTGCTAAGATTTTTATGCCAAGGGCTGTCAGAGGACTGGTTGGAATGAGAGGGGTCATAAGGCTGATTGCAAACTGCTGAAAGACCCTGATTTGCAAGGGTTGTTTGTCCTCAAATGGGACTAGGGATTGAATTACGGCGTACTTCGTTCTCAACCGCGTGGACACCTGTTTACTCTTCCCCATCAGGGAGAGCGGACTAGTTGGGTCTGCCACATTGACATGGTCGCCTTCCGCGACTCTTTCCGGCCGGGCTTAATATTGGGGCCCGCAACTATTTGCACGCTAGCGTACAAATCTAAAAGATTAACTCTCTACTGTACAACAACAAGCCCCGAAGCCCGCACGAGCCTGTCTTAAACCGATCCAAGCTGAAGAACAGAGCAAAGATCCTCTATTACTTGTGCAGCAATCTACAAGAGCAAGCATGAGCGGATGAGAAGTGAGTCAATTCGCACAGATCGTAAGGCGAGCTATTGAATAACAAAACTGCTGTAGCAAAGCGACCTACAGCTGCGAGCGGATTCGGTTTCCGGATTTATATCTGACACGCTACCTTAACTGGGTGCAGCACAGTCGTGAAACGGCCCCCTCTGGCTAATTCGGGGCAGCCCCTGTTGCACTACCGACAACGCCTCCGCCTCCAGCTCCGTAAAAAACCAGTCCTCCCACTCAGTCGCGCCCGCCGTCTGAACCACAAGATATGGCTTGCGCGAAACAAATTCTTCCTCGCAAGTATCTCCATTACATATTTCACAGTCCTTCCGCACACACTTCGGACGCCGTCCCTCGAAGCCCCGCGTCAGCCACGCCACCGTCTCGTTCTTCGCCACGCGCAATACGACCGACACGCCTTCGTCCACGAACACTGCCCAACACCCGTTACCCTAGCTGAAATATAGAGATGAATACAGAGCTAGATACAAAGACGCATCCCCTACCATTCGCATGGCGCTGTAGGATCCACAGACCCGCGCCCAAACTCGCCGCGAATTGCTCCCCAACCGGGAGCCGCTGCACCCAGTTCTTGATGAACAACGCATCCACCGCATCTCGACACGTCCGCGACACCCGGCGTAGAACAGCCAGATCCTCCACTGACGACACCTGCTCCATCACTAAGAGCCACAACTCCTCCGGCAGTTCCCCCGTCGCGCCCTGTCCACCGCAAGCACCTAGAAAAGACGTAGAGAGTGTACACCCAAGACGCGTCCGCAAGATCGCGTCAAATCGCGTTAGCACGTGATGTTAGCACTAGTCCTAATTCGGCGCATCCCCGCCCGGGACTGCTGGCCTTAGCGAGACTTCTGATCACGTTATCGTCGGCTGCGCCTGCAGCGTAATTTTTGGCCTCTGCAGGGTGTCTTTGCGTCGACGATTCAAATCATAAAGCAGCTGATAGACAACATCGACGCAGTCACCACTACCACTGGGGCACGGCATGAATTTCAGTCACGTGAAAATTCGTCAGCTAATCGAACCAATAGGAGACAGTCGATCAGTCACGTGACTAAATTCATGCCGTGCCCCGATGGTACTGCCGGGAGTATCGGCGGTGATTCTGCTAACCCCTGTGGCGGCAAGCTCGAGTATGTCCATGAGGTGCATGATCCCTAGATTCCTCGCGTTCTGCTGGCCGCATCGCCTCAGGCACTAATCATGTGCGCAGAGTGAAGGGATGACTGAGGACTCGATTGTTGCAGCTTGAGCGTCTTCGCTCGGCGCATGAATAGGTCATCATGGGCGAGCTGTCCGGAGATGACGGCTTGAACGTTAAGAGAGAAGGGTGCGGGCACTGGATGCTGTTAGAGTCGCAATCAGGCGAGATGCTGGGCATGCAAAGGATGGCCGTACAATAAGCAGTAATGATTGGTGAATATCAACAATCGGTGTTTTTAGAATCTAGTACAATGTTCGCTCGACCTTGCCATCGATAAGACGAAACAGCGGTCTCGCAACCGGCGCCCGATACGGTAGCCCTGTCGCTTCAAGAGGCCGGGCGCACACACCTTCGCCGAATTTTGACGATCCGGAAAATCACGGATGCATTCAGGCTAACCCCATCAAGATGGCCAGGACCTATTTAGTAGATGGCAGGTTCGACGAACCTGAGCGGATTTGGGTTGCCAAGCGGATACGCGTAAACAATTGGTGCGCGTACTCGTTTATCGTATTCGCTAGGGTCTTGACGGGGCGAAAGAGTCCTAGTGCGTCCGCGGGCTATGCGCGACTGTCCGACAGGAGGATTTACGCCGTACATGTTCTATATGCGGACCGAGTCTAGTGTTGTTCCTTTTAGAGCCCCTGAGCTTGCAATGAGAAATTCATGGCACCGACCGCCCAAATCCTTACGTATGCTTTGTGGCTTAGGAACATAGTTCCGGCATCTGAGCAATGTATGAAGCTGAGAATATATGAAGGAAGCTCTTGGCCTCCGCTCTCACGTAGTGTTCGTTGTCGTCTTATTTTTCGCGTACTTAGACTGCTTGTCTAGTGTTCACGCTGTCATTCGCTTTTAATGGATCCTGCTGATGTCTCTCTGAGCTCATGGTCTTCTTCTGTGGACAATCAAAAGGAAGAATATAAAATTTGGGACTACAATCCGTCCATCGCAGCGGCCGCAGTCGGTGCTGGGGTCTGTGGATTTCTTACACTTCTTCATGCTCTCCGGTTGGCAAGAAATCGCGTCGGATTCTGTATACCATTCATCATCGGTGGATTGGTGAGTCCGCTGCTACTTTGACTGCCTCATCGTAGGTGCTAACTCAATTCAACCCTCCAGTTCGAAACAATCGGATACGCTGCTCGTGCCGGAGCCTACAACAACACGGAGTCCCTACCGCCATACGTCGCCCAATCCCTCCTCATCCTCCTCGCTCCAATCTTCTTCGCCGCATCTATCTACGCCATCCTCGGGCGCCTCATACGCCGTGTTGATGGTGACAACATTTCCATTGTCCACCCTTCAGTCATGACGCGTTTCTTCGTCATCGGCGACGTCCTTTGTTTCCTGATCCAGGGTGGTGGCGGCGGCATACTCTCGCAGGCAAAAAATCAGAGTGACATGGATCTCGGCAACAACACAATTCTTGTTGGCCTTGGTCTGCAGATTTACTTATTCTGCTTCTTTGTTAAGATTGCGGGAAGCTTTCACAGAGACCTGCAGAACCATCTCACCGTTTCTGCAATGGATGGAAAGTTCCCATGGCGGAGATATATGGTTCTGCTATATGTGGCATGTTCGTGCGTCGGGTTAAGGAATACGTACCGGGTGGTGGAATATGCGATGGGGAAGGTAGGTCTATTTTTGTCGTTGTAGGCATTGTTTGTCATCTGATACTAACCTTAGCCCATCAGGACGGATTTCTTCTTAGCCACGAATGGCCTCTTTACGTTGGCGATTTTGCACTTATGGCAGTTACTCTTATCGTCTGCTTAGCGTGGTACGATCCGAATATAAGACCCCGGCGAACACCGACGGATGGCGCGGAAATGGAACTCTTATGAGGGGAGAAAGTTATAGTTATTTCGAGTTAAAATATCTCTTATGTTCTACAGTGTAGGTACTTTTTTAAGATCGTTTAAATAAACGTTAATGATTATTATATTTTCTAAAGAGCTTAACTAATATTAGAAAGAAAAGCAGATTGCCGCCAGTCGTAAGCTATAATTCATCAACCAGTGAGAGTGGTCACTCATTGATACATGCGGCCCTCTGTCTTCCTGATCAATGCCCGAAGTCGGTGAAGAGAGTCGTGCGTAACATACCCAGCGCAGAGGATCTGGTTGCTCAGCGCGACCTTGTCTGTCACCAGATGCGCGGAACTCTGGGGGAGAATCTCGCAGCACGAATAACCTACTTCCAAGGCCTTGTTGGGAGAGGGATTGCTCCAGTTCTTATGCTCCACCGCGCGGAGGCCAACGTATTCCGGCCAGACCTTTGGCGGCTTTGATTGGAGACCCTTGTGCCCAAAGGTGAGGATTTCCGCGACCTTCAGGTGCTGGGCATACTTTTCCACGACGATTGCGAACCTCCCCTTCAAATGGACCCTCGCTTCGAAGCGAGTCCCCCCCACCGTTGCCGTCCCGCATCCCTGATTATTTTGATCGAGGCCCAGTGTGTAGGGTTCGAGATAATAGACGATCATTCCCGGCTCGATCATCCCAATGCTATAGAAAGAGACGGCGTTGAAGCGCTCATACATATAGCGCAGCATATCCAGGACATAGGGCTGCGTCATATCGAACTGGCGCGCACACTCCTCTCCCCAATGGTATTGACGCCTATGGTAGTCAGCTATGACTTCTTGTTCCTGAAGTACCGAGGACAGCTTGTCCTGAAGTCTGCTATGGCCGTACAGCAGCTCAAGGTAATCGTCGATATCATCAACGGAACAGCGCGAATGTGCTGTGGGAAGACTTACCTTGGACCCAACGGACGAACAGCCCGTCGAGTCCGGTGATGACGCGCCATCTTCGTAAAACAGCCCGTCGTCCATCTCACGGTTCAAAGAAGTTAGCATCGAAGATCCAGAAGCGCCGCTCTTGAATCTCTGCCAAAAGCTCGACCCCACCGGCACATACCGGTCGCCCTCAAACCCATCCTTCCACGCCGCTCTACTTGACAGCGAATGGGTACGCGTTAGTGGCCGGGCAATGGATGCTTCCCTGTACGCCCGGCATTCGCGCGCGCTCTGAGGGCGAGCGGCATGCTTACCTCTGTGCTCGATCCGACTGACACCCATGTTAGCGGGTCGATCAAGTTTCCAATCAAGAGCAGACCTCACCTACCTCTACCAGAGAGCTTAAACAGGCTTACAAAGCGCGTAACGACGGTAGTCGCTGATCTACAGCGAATACGGTCCGGCGCTTCGGAGAGAAGGTTTGCACTTGATCGCTGCCAGCGGAAAGTGGAATGATGGAGAGCGAGTATTTTAGGCCTATCGTCCTAGCTATATATTGACGCTTCACAATGTTCGGTGTTGTGAGGCTCCGGAAATAGATCACCGGCACGACCAGCAGCAACAAAGGAGTCGATGACGCTGCTGCTTTAACAATCTTGGAATAGGACAAAGACTTCCTTGTCTAAGGACTTCCCTTTCGAAGCCCCTTTGAACCAGACTAGAGACGAAAGGACGGCGATTACAATGCCTTTCTCCAGACTACACACAATATCGATGACTCGTTCAACAAAACGTTTCACAGCCGAGCACCGCTAAGACGGCATCTGTCGCACCCCATTCTCAAAAAACCATCACGTTTGTGCGGATTTAATCGTCAAATGTCCCTGGACGAGAGATAACTTCCCTTGCTAGCCATACCTTAAGGCCCGCATCTGAGTTCAATACCGTCAACGGGTCGTTTCGTCCACTTCCGAAATCCTCAACAAGGTAGCTTACCTCCGCCTCACATCTCGGAACTATCATCTCGGGCGACAAATGAATCCATCATCATTCAAGCCAAAAGCCCACGGCTACCCTAAGCCCACTAAGTCCAAGACCCGGCCCCGAAAACCCGCTCCCCTCCCCTTCGTCCCCGCGCCCTCCCGCCTCGTCAGCCACAAATGCGCGACGCTCAACACATCCGTCACATCGGACCCCTGCAATCATCTCACCGCACCCCACACGCACGCATGCCCACCCAGCACGCCCTCAAAACCGCTCATGACGCTGCTGCTCTCGCTCCCGCTCGCCCAGAAAATCCACCAGCTGATCGTCGCATCGCGCCAAATCGAAGGCCTAGCGCGCGGCTGGTTCAACGGCTCTCTGAACGAAGGCGTTGCCGAGCGACGCATGTCCGCCCTCGAGCTGCAATACGACGAGCTCAGGAATGAAGTCGAATGCGAGCTGGAGTCCGCATGGGTGAACGCCGGGTTCGTGCCTGCGGATTTACCTTCTACGCTCCCGACGTTCCCTCCCTCGCATAAGGCGCCTGGCGCGCATTCTGTGAAGCCCGTCATGCCTACGCAAGCCGTGCTTGGGAAGGAAGTGTACGTCCATCCACAGTACACCGTTGACAAGGCGCTTAAGCGCAAACGGGACGAAGAAAAACAACGCGCGAATAAGCGGGAGAAGCAGAGTGTCGATGAAGAGGAGGTGCATTATGGAGAGCCGGTCCAGCCGATTGGATTGCAGACTTGTATGATTCCGCTGAAGTGGGGCGAGAAGAAGAGGATGCGGAATTGGAATTGGAACTGGAGGGGGACCGGGAAGGGGGGACGGGTTGAGGAGGAGTGTGTGAGTCCGATGGGGACAGTGATGGTGTTTTAGTAGGCCATGGTTCACTCACTCGTTTGACGCTTGGGATATGCATTTCTTCTGCATTGTGTTGCCTGCGAAGTCATCTTTAATGTATTTCCTCTCTTTCTCCTTTCTATGCTACTTCAACCGCCGACACTCCTCATTAAACTTATCAATGTTCCGCCTGATCCACCCAACAGCAAACAAATTATCACCATCCCAGTCTTTATCACCCTCCCCTAAACTTACGCCGTTCTCCTCCTCTGGATCCTCCACAACCTTCCCATCCCCTTGGCCTTCTCCCTCCTCTCTTGGCTCTTTCACACTCTTAGCAGAAGGGCAGCCTCTGGATACGCGGCAAAGCCATCTTGGATAGGCAGAGCTGGAGGATGTACCAAGAAGGCGATGAGGTCTATCGGCGACTCTGCCGTACGCCCCTCTCATCTTTCTTTGTTCCAAGAACCAGGGAAGCCTTTGTTCTCACATATCCACGTGCAACACTTTGACTAGCATTGAAAATCAACCGAGATCTACCTGTACCATCTTTCGAAATACCAGGAGTGGTGTTCGAAAAGCAAGAAAGCATGAGTGACGCACAACAACAGCATGCACCCACAGGTGTATAGTGCAATACTGCCACACCTACGGACCTCGGGACCTTGAACGTGACCGTCCTTAGCGTCGCGGCAGGTCCTAGGGAGGACACCCATATGGAGGATTCAACCTCCAATTATGACGCGGCAGAGAAGGTTACCGCTCAAGGTCCCTTGTTTCAGCTTTTACCAGTAGTCTATATTTAGAATATCTTCTAGGTATACTTGCTAAAATCTGACTTCTAGCAATAAACCTGATGTTTCGGGTGTGGTACTTAAGGGCTGTGCTCGTAAATTCGGCGCCGTACTGAGAACTACGTGGCCCCTTGGACCTAATGATTGTGTAAATCAAGTGGGTGTTATAAGTAGCTGCGTAGTCAAATAATCTAGCCAAGCGTTTCAAACAGAGAGCTTAATGTGAGGAGGAGAGGGAGTTCACGTATTACGTGTGACAGCATTACTGGCCAACTCGAGAGGCAGAGTTTTATGTGAGATCCAACGGCTGGTGGGCTTGCTTGAGGTATAGGAAACTTCGACTATCAACAGAAGTGAGATTTACGCCACGTTCTGTACAGGATGTTAGTAGGAAGCTTGAGGGACTGATACCGGAGCGCGGAAAAAAGGCCCGAATCTATGGCACACATGGAGCTTCAACTGAGTGAGGAATTAGAACACGCACAAATATTTCAAATTTGCCATTCTATCTACCTTGGGCATGCCATCATTAGGATTGCCAGTTTACCACTCCTCCATTAGCCTTGCCGCATTCGCTTGGTCTCGCGCTCACCCTCATCATATTCTACGCCGTCTTCGCTCGGAGTGTACTTCAGCATAGGTTGGGCCTGCATCGAGAATGAAGGCATTTGAGCTGGGCGCCCCGAACCCATCTCTAGGAGGAGTTGCAGCTTTCCCCGATCGAACCAGATTTCATTCTGATTGCTCCCGACCATTTCCTGTAACTCCTGGTCATGCTGCTGAAGATCTTGAATCTCTTGCTGATTGTTTCCAATCATTTGCTGCAGGGTATCGTCGTACTCCAGAAGTTACTGTAGCCTCCGTTCCACAAAAGCTGCAGTGTCCCATCCCTGCTGGTCGTTGTTCTCGTCACTATCACACTGGGCATTCATTGGCGCAATCGGAGCCTGTGCAGCGGTCGGACTATTGCGAAAGCTCCCGGAAGCCGGATTCATTAAACGGATAGGGGCGGAAGATCCAGGCGGAATATTCATCCAGGAGAACCGCCCGCAGTCCAACGTTCCGCGCTGGTCAAGCGGCACTCGCGAAATTCGCTTTGACATATCCTGCGCTTCCCCGAATATGACAAAGCTAGGCTCATCAATAAGGCCTACAATGTCGAGATAGGGGTTGCCACGGGTGGGACTCCAAGGAATCAGGGCCGAGCATGACATCGAGAACATTACCTTGGTTCGTGGCTTGTATCCACGGTACGTCTCTTCGAAGATGAGTGTAAATTCCTGCGGAACGTGCTTGTTGATGCTCATGCCATCTTCGCGGTTGGCCTGCCACTCATCAAATTGCGATTGTAACATGGCGGGTAGCAGCTGAACGGCCTCCTCCTTCAGCCTGAGGTCTGCTCCCTTTCCAGCAAAGGTGTAGCCCAAGTGTATATTCAGTTTCGAATGCTCTCCTGCCCAGTGGATGCCCGTGATAAGCCCGTAACGCGAATCGTGGTAACCCGGAGTAAAGGTAGGCCCCGCGTCGGCAATACCTTTGGCAGGTACGAATTGCTGCGTGACGCGGTCGCGGGGGTGCCATGGGTCGTGAAATGACTGCCAAGATTGAAAATGGACTACTTGACGGACCTCTGCGTTTCGAGAGTGTGGGGGTTTCTTGTAGGGGTTGTTATAGTACGCGAGATGAGGGTTCGGCATGCCTCCTAGACTGCTGGCGCTGGCCTGTAAGGGGCCGGCTGGTTGATATGAATGTGCATATCCAGAGTCCCAACGCTAGATTGACTGGTGCGAGCTTGAGTGGAAAGCGTCTGCGTATTCGAGTTTCCGTTTCCAAAGCCAAATCCGTAAGTGTACGTCTGCGAAGAGGCTACCCTTGAATGGGGATTTGGATGGCCTAACTGGCCGCGAGTTCCACTCGCGGATATAGAAGGTCGAGGTGGCCGAGGAGGAAGATGATCAATACCTTGAAATCCACCCTGGACGGTCTCCCGGCAAGGGCCACCTGCTTTACCAGGAGCAGCAACGGGCGACAGAGGATCAAGTATGCAATTGCGTCCAGAAGCAGTAGTCGAGCGCACGGAATTTCTGTTCGCGGTTCCTGGTTCGTGTTCCTCCTCGACGGATGTGATGTTCGCGCGGAGGTTCCGTTCAATCGTCTCATGTTCTCCGCCTGCCGTGCGAGCTTCGGCTTGGGAAGATAATTCTATGGTTGACTCTGCGGTCGCACGCTGTCGTAGGTCACTTCGGCCGTTGAAGTGTACATCCTGTAGGCTTCCATTGATGTCTCCACTTGCGCCATTGATAAGCCCATTGTAATTGTTCTGATAGGCTCGATTTGGAGGTGTAGCTTGAGGGCCTGGTTCGTTAGCGGCTTTCTCTCAACTGAGATATCAAAAGCACATCTATGCGCGCCATAGCCTTTTTAGTCTGTTGGAGACATGTAGAATGATACTTAAAGAGGCATAGTCTATGTCATAACGGCATGACTATGCACTGATGTTGAACATACCTTGTTTGGTCGCTTTTCCGCGTTTGTCCGAACGCTTGCGCTTCTTCTCGTTATCAGAGTTCGTACCGTTCGCCATGGCTGAAGCTTTGCTGCCGCGGTTGTCCAATCGGACGGTTGGCGCAGAGTTGGCTTGGAGGACTAGGCTGAAGTTGGAGGAGTTGTTGTGATGTATAATTTAGGAGGGACAAAGCTACCGCGCATTTTGTAGCTCCGAACGCGTTCACACGCTTCGCCCGCGAATAGTCAACATTGCGGGCTCGTGGTGAAATGTGAAATTGCCTTTGCGCTTCGAAAGAAGCACATGTGCCTACCTCCTCAATACTTCGCTCCACAAACTAAGGATTCGTCGAAGTGAAACTCTCCCAGTTCCGGAGCTCCATCAAGAGGGAAGACAGGCCAGGGGGAGAACGTACGGAAGTGAAGCCGATGTAGGCCTTAAATTCTGATACGTTCTAGGTGAAATACGTAGGTAGGCTACTCGACGGCAACACGCAGCACTTAGCAAGTCTAGAGTCTTCCATCCCTCCTTCTTCATCGAATATTACTCTACGCGGCCTCTACAATTTATCAACCCCACAGTAATTGATCTTCAACCACGCATACTGACTCCCCAAGGCTTATTAGAGCACAGCAATCGCGGGAGGGCCTACGTGCTCTCGTGTGCAGAACCATGCTGAGCTCTAATGCTGATACGCGCGTTCAAAGAACCTACGGACAAAGCGCATGTTTATCAATAGACGTAGAATAGACACTACAAGGAGAAATTTATTGTGTGTTTTCTTTGTGTAAGCAACTAGTGATCCTTTGTTCGCGCAAATCTTCTTGGCACACCTCGATTAGCCCTATACGTCAAATAAAAACCAGTCATCAACTATGTTTCGAAATACCGACATTTTTTTGAAAATTCAACGACGTCGGTGCCGGTAGGCATGACGAAGTCGGAGCATTCACAGACTGTGAGAGTGACTCTCCTCAGCGTTGCGGCAGGTCCCATCTTGGTTAGCCCCGTGGAAGAGACGCCCACTGATCCTGATGCAACTGATGACAGCTCCCATCCTAATCTATGGCTATGGCTTTCACCGGTTACACATCACCAAAGGCTCACTTTCGGACGTCCTGCGGAATCACCCGAAAACACAAAAGATGTTGAAGTTCATCCCTGGCTTTCCCTTGCTCCAGTGTTCCATCCGCCAGTGACAACCAGCGCTCCAACGCTACAGCAATATGACCACGGCGGGGACGACCAGCGAGCAAATGGAAGCTTGGGTCTAAGTTCCAAACACGCCGAGGGAAGAAAAGCAGCTTCCGAAGCTTCCGGTTCTTCGTGCCAAACGATAATTGACTGGAACCCGGGAGTCATACGCAAACGGGACTTTGAAACTTCTTCGATCAGGTTTGTAGATGCAGGAGATGAAACCAGAGCGTGCCCGGCGCTTCTTGTCGACTGGGACCTATTTCGAATATTGGAGGCGATTTCACAAAGCTGGCGCTCGTGGGGCCTAAGAGAAATGGAGAGGGATCAATGGCAAGAGGAAAATGGCGGCCACTTAACCATGCACGAGCTTCAGTTACGAACGAAAGCCGCCGAGGAGGAACGTATGCTAAATGAAGTGAGAAACGACGCTAACAATAACGCGCTTCGCGAGGCACTATGGCAGATCCGACGGGGTCGCCAATCCATAGAGGAAAGGTTGGAGGATCTTCGAAGCCGCAAAGCCGAGTTGAACCAGAACGTTGAGCGCGAGGAGAAACGATGCGAGGCCTGGCTGCACCAACTTCCCCCAATTCTGAATGGCGCGATGATCCGGCTTGGCGTCATTCCTCGCGACGACTCCAACGGTAAGCCAGCTGTTCAAATCATCGAAACCGTTCAACCCCCGTACAACGGTGGCGCCTCCGTTCCACCCTTGTCAGAACAGAATCAACATGCTGTCCGATATGCTCCAGTTGCCCCACCCGAACCAGAACAACAGCCACCAATCAATCCCACTGAAGAACCAGTTGGCAGGAGATTTGAATTAGCGTACGCCCACCTTCAACGAGTGAACGCTGAATTTGAAGCTCATCGAGATCAATACCCGGGCGAATTGAGCAAATTCTTGAACGACAATCGGGGCAAGGATGACGAGCTTACCCTTGAGCAAAGATTTGGGCAGCTGTGGTTCCAGAGAACAACTGATATTACTCGGAAGCTTGTGGAAGCTGAGCAATCGTACGAAAAGGTTGAGGAAGAATGGCGGGCCGCTCTTCCTCTTAATGACGATTATGCTTTCGGATGCCCAACCTTCATTGATAAGTCCCTTGGGACAAGTCGAAACAATCCAGATCCCAAACAATTGGGCACTGGACTGTCGGAGCGAAAAAGGAAATGGATTGAGATGTGGAGATCTGAAGACGAGGAGGCAATATTAGAACGCAGGCGAAAGCGTATGAGAGACCTTCGTGGGTGTGACGAAATACCGACAGAATCAGAAGAGAATAAGCCGCTGAGTTTTGGATCCGATGAACATGAAGGGCCGCGTGCTGTCGGGCAATTTCGAAGGAAGATTGATGCATTCAACGAGCAGTGTGGACGCTCACGCTGAGCTCCCAGGCCTTTTTAGAGCAAAAGCATACCCTTCTATCTCTTATTACGCTATACTTAGAAGAGCTAGCTCTATAGAAATTTTCTAGAAACCTTTATTACGTTATAAATACTATAACGTACTTTACAAACAAACGCCCTACACAAACGAACGCCCTAAAAATGCTAAGCTAGGAAAATTAAAAGGTTTTTCTTAAATAACTAAGCAAAACCTTAATATTTTTCTATAAAATTTTAAATATATATAGAACTATACTATATATACTATCTATTAAATTTATACTATATATTTTCTATTACGTAAGCTTAAGATAAGCCTTTTTCTAAAAGTAGCTATTCTTAGAGTTTAAACCTTATAAGCACTAGTAGACCTTTATAATAATCTATAAAACTTTAAAGATATACTATATACTATAGTGTAAAGCCTTCTATAAAGTTTAGTAGTCTAGAACTATATAGCTATAAAGATATTAAAGAAAGAATCTAAAAAGTATCTAATTTTTATTTTATTCTACTAACT